CCCCCCCCCCCCCCCGCTGCATCTCATAGACAGGATGTACAGTGGACTTCCCTTAGCTCTTACTATCCGTAGCTCGGGGGGCGTGTCCTAGCGGCGGGGAATGTGTCCCCCACCGCACTAGTAACGTCATGCACGAGAGGGGAAGCGTTGTGTGTCGTCGGCCAGTATGTTACAGCGTTCTCTCTCAGATAATGACGTTGTCTCTCTCGTGTAAGCACGTCCCTGCGCATGTGGAGGTGGTAATTCCCTAGCTCGAGTTCTTGGAAACAGACCCCCGAACGCTATGAGCTAGGGGAAGTCCACTGTATGACTATATTGGAGGTTCCTCGTGTCGGCACCGGAATGTATCTTTGTTTATTGACTCCTTTTCCTCAAGTATCATAAGCAAAATTGATGAATATGTTGGACTACGAGGTTTCCCGTACAGGCACGGCAGTCTACCCGTGTTTATTAATCATCTCTCCCAAGTCTCATAAGCGATATGGATGAATATGCGGGACTATAAGGTTTCCTGTGCCTACACGCGAATCTAATTGTGTCCATTGACTCCTCTCTCTTAAGCCCCACAAGAGACATTGATAAATATATTGGACCCTAAGGTTTGTCGTACCGGCACGGGCATATGTTTTTGTCCATTGACCCCCTTTCTCTGAGCTTATAAACGACATGGATGAATATGTTGAATTATTAACTTTTCCGTGCCAGCACGGGTGTCTGCTTACACTTTATCAAATCACCCCCTCCTCCCCCGCCCTTATAATACGGATGAATATATTGGTTCCTGCGTTTTCCAGCGTCGGCACGGGAATCAATTTTTGTGCATTGGCTCCTCTCTCTTAAGTCTCACAAAGAACATCGATGAGCAATTAATCTTGAGGCTCCCCGTGCCGGGACGACAATCGAATGTTACCCAACTTACTCAAATATAGAACTGCTAATGAGTCTTTAATTTGATTACCGAATGGACTCATTGATTCCTTATTTATGTCACTATTTAAAAAAAATAATTGAATTAAGATCAACTATTTTGTTTTGTCATCCTAGAAGCATAATCACGGTGTCTCTCACGTTATATCCATTAACAAATAGTTGGATAAAAAACAATAGATAAATAATAGTAATAATAATATAAAAAAATAATATACAGTTTCATATTTTTAGTTTCGATTCATTTTATTTATTATTATGATATTCCTCATCTAATGAAGCGTCTTACGATTTTTTTTTCATCCTGAAACGTATTTTCACCCGATTTTCAATTTCACTCATTGATAAGTTCTCATCTTTCGGCTGCACGACTATAGGCTAAAAGCTTTTCATTAAGCTCCGCATCGAAGCCCAGGAATGCTCCCTTTTCGTACATTACCCTCCATCTATTGGGGATCCGATATATTAATATCTACATCACCGCGAGATGTCACCTTTGCCTGTTTCACCAACCTGAACATGCCGCTACTTCCGCTGGAAAAAACCGAAACCACTCGATCGTCTTGAAAATTCAAATTTCCGCAGTCGCTCCATGGAAATCAACCCGCAATAAAAATAAACAACGGTAACAATGGTTTATATATGTACCCATTCGACAATGACTGCAACAATGTCAATTCTCGTCCCAACGTCGCACGACGTGGAAATTGCACAAATGAAATTAGAAACTCCTTGTTACCCCCCATAAACAAGAGCGAAGTCCAGACCTGCGATACAGGAGACAGCTGGTTTCTCCCCGAGCAGAAGGGGATTGATACGAAGTCACCTTGAGTTGTCATTCATGCGTCTCGAGCCGGCCTCTCGGTTCATCTGCGCACACATTACCTCTTCTACACTTTGTCACATGCACACGCTCCCTATATACCCCTGTTACATACGACTTGTACATAGTTGTCACTTGAGTTCGAATTTGACTTTGAGATAAAAATAGAATGGGTGGCCATTGGTCTAGCATGGATCCATCCAAGGTGGACGTACCTGAGATTGATAAACTTTTGGAGAGGGATCCTTACCTGAAACCTCACGAAAATGAATTCCGAAAGAGGTAAAAAATTCCAAACATCCAATTTTATGCAATTATGCATTTATGCATCATAAAAATGTGGTTTTTCATTTAATAATAATAATTCTGTGTACTTTTTTCGTCTAGATATGCTTTGTTCAAGGACTACATTGAGAAAATCGAAGCCGGTGATGGTAGTTTGGATAAATTCTCTAGAGCTTATGAGTCCTTTGGAATTATTATCGATGGAAGTAATGGGGTAACTGCTCGAGAGTGGGCTCCGGGGGCCAAACAACTGTATTTAACTGGTGATTTTAGTAAGTAGATGCTTCAAAACATTAAAAAAAATCCCATTTATAATTAATATCTTTCTTTCAAATATTCTCATTCTTTCAAAATACTTCATGACATTTTTTGTAGTAACCTACGTTTAACTAACAAGAATGGATATTTAAGAATAATAAAATCATAGCCTAATTGGTCATTATTTGTTATCTTTCATAATTAATGCATGAATGAGTAATTTTCCCTGGATATTAAAAAAATGTTTTATATAATTGAGACCGAAAAAAAAATCCCTGCACACATGGCCTCACATGGCTCTACCCCTAATGAATGAGTGAATGAATGAATGAATGAATAAGTAATTTTCTCCAGATAATAAAAAAAATGTTTTTCCAGATAATTGGGACCGAAAAAAGAATCCCTACACAAAACAAGAATTCGGTAAATGGGAATTGAAGCTTCCCCCGAATGCCGATGGAACGTGTCCCATCGCCCACCTCTCAGAAGTCAAAATCATAGTGGAAGATGGAACTGGTCAATTGCTGGAGCGATTGAGCCCCTGGGCGACGTACGTAACAGCCCCTCAGCACCAAAACGAAGGGACAAATTACAAACAACATCTCTGGCACCCAGAGCCCCAGAGCCTCTACAAATGGAAGAACCCAAAGCCGAGAAGACCGAAGAGTCTTCGGATCTACGAGTGCCACGTGGGGATCGCCACGAGTGAATTAAGAGTTGGAACATATCTGGAGTTCGCCAAAGGCATCATCCCGAGGATTGTGAAGCAGGGGTACAACTGCATTCAGCTCATGGCCATCATGGAGCACGCTTATTACGCCAGTTTTGGGTACCAGGTGACGTCGTTCTACGCAGCGTCGTCGAGGTATGGAACCCCTGAGGAGCTCAAGGAGCTGATTGACGTCGCTCATGGGCATGGACTCTTCGTTTTGCTTGACATGGTTCATTCTCATGCCTGCAAGAACACTGTGGATGGACTGAATATGTTCGACAGCACTGATGCCTGCTTCTTCCATTCTGGATCGAGGGGAGAACATCCTCTTTGGGACAGTAAACTGTTTAATTATGGAAACTATGACGTGCTGAAGTTCTTGCTGTCGAATTTACGGTGGTATGTGGATGAATATCACTTCGATGGATTCAGGTACAATATAGTTGATTTCATTTATTAATTACATGAGTAGTTCATTGGCATTGGTTTAGAAACAATGGAGTTGAGCAAAAATTACAGATAGTTTTAGTGAATAATGAATTCTTAATCCACACCCCATCAATCTTGCCAGTTAAGGCCCGGGTGGATTATCTTTCGAACGTTATCACGATTGTTTTTCCATCTTCATAATGTAAAATATATCACAATTATTATTGGATTTTACATCACACAGGAGTCCCTAAAAATTATGATTGTACAATCAAAACAAGTAGAAAAAGAAACTGAAAATCTTCAAAGAGCGTTTTTAATGATGATTAAGAAATAAGTCTGATAGAGAGGAAATAGTGAATGGATAATTTATCATGGTAACTATCGATCTGTCAGCCATTGACTGCTGTGACAAATGATGACCTGACAGCCATTAGATACATCAAATTATTAATTTGCAATTTCCTCCCTATCGGGTTAATTTTCCAATATTATTCAAAATTCTCTTTGAAAATGTTCAGATTTTTTTCAACGTTTTTTTGATTGTACAATCATAATTTTTGCAGACTCCAGGGCTATGTAAAACTGAATAGCAATTGGAGATCATTTCAGATTATCAAAATAAAAAAAACATCCAAGATCACGTTTGAAAGATAATCCACCAAGGCCTTAAATTTACTTATGATTTTTTTTTCTTGAAGATTCGATGGAGTCACTTCGATGCTGTATCACTCGAGAGGTCTCGGACAAGGATTCAGTGGAAATTATGAAGAGTATTTTGGACTCAATGTCGATGTGGAGGGAATTGTATATTTAATGATGGCTAATTACATGTTGCATCGATTGTATCCAGAAATCGTTACAATCGCTGAGGATGTCAGTGGCATGCCAGCCATGTGCAGGTAATTTATTGATTAAAACTCAGGTGGATTATCTTTCGAACGTTATCCGGATTGTTTTTCCATCTTCATAATGTAAAATATATCACAATTTCCATTGGATTTTACATCACGCAGAAGTCCCTAAAAATTATGATTGTATGTTCAAAAAAAATAGAATAAAACTGAACATTTTCAAAGAGTGTTTTTAATAAAAATTAAGAAGTAAGTCCGATAGAGAGGAAATAGTGAATGGATAGTTTATCATGGTATTATGAATTTGCAATTTCTTACCTATTGGATTTATTTCCCAATATTATTCAAAAAGCTCTTTGAAAATGTTCAGCTTTCTATCAAAGTTTTTTCGATTGTGCAATCATAATTTTCGGAGACTCCATAACTATGTAAAACTGAATAGCAATTGGAGATAATTTCAAGTTATCAAAATGAAAAAAAAAAAAACAAGATCACGTTCGAAAGATAATCCACCCGGGCCTTAAATGAATTAAATATTTCATGACATTCCCTCAAATTGTTTTCATTAAAAAATTGATGAAACAATTGAATTGATGAAATATTTTTATTTTAAAGACCAGTGGCCGAAGCTGGAATTGGCTTCGACTATCGTCTAGCCATGGCAATCCCCGACAAATGGATAAAACTCCTAAAAGAATATCGAGACGACGATTGGAACATGGGAGACATTGTCTGGACCCTCACCAATCGAAGATGGATGGAGAAAGCTGTTGCCTATGCCGAATCACATGATCAGGCACTGGTGGGTGATAAAACCATCGCTTTTTGGCTGATGGATAAGGATATGTACACCCATATGAGTGTTATCAGCGAACCGAATCCAGTTATATCCCGAGGCATTGCTCTCCACAACTTAATCAGACTTATTACACATGGACTTGGTGGTGAAGCTTATCTCAATTTTATCGGTGAGTCAGTTAACCTAGTCTATGTATTTTTGATAACCTCAGATTTATATTTATATTCACAGTGCAAAGTTTTTCTAAAAGTATTTCTTTTCATTCAGAATTCCTGTCTTCTTTTTATCCCATGCACAAAGATAGAAAAAAAACAGTTCAGATATCTTTATCGATTGGGAATTTGCCTTGAAAAGAAATTTTTAGGAGTAAATGTCAAGAAGATTTCCAAGAAAAAATACCTCCAGTTATTTCTCCCGCAGTTATATTATTTTAATTTTAAATAATTTATATTAAATTTAATATTTAATAAGATGAAAAAAAATCGACAGTTTCTGTCACATTTTATCATTTTACGGGAATTCACGTCAATTATTTTCCCTCAGGCAATGAATTCGGTCATCCCGAATGGCTAGACTTCCCCCGAGCAGGCAACAACAGCAGCTACCACTACGCCAGACGCCAGTGGAACCTAGTGGACGACGATCTCCTAAAGTACAAATACATGAACAACTGGGATCGAGCCATGAATCTCCTGGAGGAGAAGTACGGCTGGTTGGCAGCGGATCCAGGCTACGTCAGTTGGAAGCACGAGGGAGACAAGGTCATAGTTTTCGACAGAGCTGGACTCGTCTTTGTCTTCAATTTCCATCCAACACAATCGTTTCCTGATTATGCCATTGGGGTCCCCAATCCTGGGACTTACAAAGTTGTATTGAACAGTGATGATAAGGAGTTTGGGGGCGAATGCAGGGTTGATCCCAACTGCAGGCACTTCTCGAAACCAGAACCCTTTGCTGGTCGCCCACATCGCATTATGGTTTATGTACCTTGTCGTACAGCTATTGTTTATGCAATTGGTATGTTTCACTGTATTTGACATTGCTATCGAGGCTTATTACTTTCGTTACATTGTTAGAAGCTTTTTGAATTGTAAAAAATTGTCATTTTTATGAACTTGAATCGAATTTAAGGCCCAGGTGTATTATCTTTCGAACGTTATGTCAATTGTTTTTCCATCTTCATGATGTAAAATATATCACAATTTCCATTGGATTTTACATCACGCAGGAGTCCCGAAAAATTATGATTGTAAAATAAAAAAAAGTAGAAAAAAAAACTGAACATTTTCAAACAGCGATTTTAATAAAGATTAAGAAATAAGTCCGATAGAGAGGAAATAGTGAATGGATAATTTATTATGGTAACTAACGATCTGAGAGCCATTGACTACTGTGACAAATGACGACCTGACAGCCATTAGATACATCAAATTATTAATTTGTAATTTCCTCCCCATTGGGTTTATTTCCCAATATTATTCAAAACCGCTCTTTGAAAATGTTCAGCTTTTTTTCAACGTTTTTTGATTGTACCATCATAATTTTCGGAGACTCCAGGACTATGTAAAACTGAATAGCAATTAGAGATCATTTCAGATTATCAATATAAAAAAACAACCAAGATCACGTTCGAAAGATAATCCACCCGGGCCTTAAGATAAAAACACTCATGCAATTTTTTATTCTTGGGATCTCAACAACATTCATTCATTCACTCATTCTCAAAATGACTGGAGAATTTCAATTCCATTGAAAATTCCACAAATCAACAATCGTTTTTGTTGTAAAAATTTCTGGAATAATTTTCCAACAGCGAACAAATCAACAATCGTTTTTGTTGTAAAAATTTCTGGAATAATTTTCCAACAGCGTAATAGAATCTTTCGAATATTTCCATTGACTCCATTCTTTATTATTTCAGAATCCTGAAGACACTGATCTCACTAGCCCGACTTGAACAAATCAAATAGACAATAAATAAAGAAATTGTCCTAGAGTTTATTTTATACAAAAAATAAATATTCATTTAGCTACATTCAATCTCATTAATATCATAATCCTTCATTTTATCCTCAAGTACCCACCACTTGCCTAAGAACCCCACATCCACAATTCTCTCATGAAACCTCGTATATTCTGGCTTCAAATAACTGCATTGCACTTTGTACAGTGCACACCGATCACTGTAATTGTCCAGCCATATGAACGATATAACGCCCAGATTCAACCTCCTTATGATATTGTTGTTTAGACATTCCTCCATGTGCAACACATGACTCATAGAAATGGGATTGCGGGTTGATTCACCAACGTACATCAGACGCATAGAGTTTTTCAAGAGCTCCTCCCGAAAGGTGCGTAAATCTGGATTCGTCTGCGATAGGTAGTAACAGCCGGCAAGACCTGAATCAATCAGACGTTCAAGAAGACCAAAATTTAAAAAATCAATTTGTGAAATCGAGTGAAAGGACTGAATATGCACCTGAGAAATAAACTCCTGCCTTGAATGGACGATTTCTGCATTCTTTAACGACATCGACTGCTACATCTTTGTAGTCGAGGTAGAGATTCTTCCAATATAACTCTGAAAGCAACACGGTATTAATTTTATTCATGATTTTATTGGTGTCAATGAATTCTAATAGGCAGGGGCCAGTGGCCGGATCTACAGGAGACATGAAATGAATACAAAAAAGATGAATTATTTTTTCGTTTGAAAATACAATTTCAAAAGTCTCTATGGGTTTCCGGAAACAATTCTAGTGACTTAATTTATTGCATTCTCGCAAGTTATGGAGTTTTTTAGACTGTTAGAAAAAAAATGAATTTTCATGGACAATTGACTACTACATTTTAAGACACTGAATGTGATTTAGGGGGGAAAAAATCATGAAATTTCAGGTTTCACTGGAAATTCAGTAAAATTCTAGAATTTTAAGCACCATAAAGACGAGAATTTGTGATTTGATTGAATTTGAATTGAAATTACATTGAATTTTCAGTGAAATCTGAAATTTCATGAGTTTTTTCTCCTAAATCGCATTCAGTGCCACTGTCCTGAAAATTAAAGAATATATTTACCAGAATTTTCTGGTTTTCTATACATTCTCAGAGAAAAATGAACCGGAAATTTACAGTTCTGTCTGATTTTTCCACGAAATTCTGAATTTTCAATGACAAGATTTGCGAAAATTTTTATCGTGTTCAATTCCCACTCAAATTTCTAGGAATCTTGTCACTGAAAATTCAGAATTGCATGGAAAAATCAAACAGAACTGTAAATTCAGTTCAGTTCAGTTATTTTTCCGGAAATTTCAGTGGAACTTGAACACGATAAAAATTTCCGGAATTTGGTACGGAAAATTCAGACGAAAATTTTCAACAGTGTATCCCAATATGTTGATGAAGGCAACAATAGCTGTTTGAATCAAATAAGAAATGATTTCACGAAATTTGCATTTTTTTAAATTGAATAGGGGAGGTTGTGGTAAAACGGACATTTTTGACTTTTTTTTTAATGTTAATGAGGGGTTGAAATGTTGATACAATTTAATCATTTTTATTTTTAATACAAAGAACAATTTCTCCCCTTTGTGACGAGCCTAAACTGAGCTCAATTGATCAATTTGTTTCTGAGTTATGAATAATTTTAAAAAAGTCCAAAGTGTCCGTTTTACCCCACCCTCCCCTATCACTAAAATTATGCTCTATAAAATTTTACAAAGAATAAAATAAGGAATATTATAAACATTATCTATGAAAAACCTGAGAACAGTCGTCAGAAAAACCTGTTTCTAAGGATATACCTCAATGAATCCATTTGTTCGTAAGTTAATTACATTTCAGTAGCGAAGTGGTAAATCGGTACAAGTCAATTTTGACTATTGATCAGTTTTCAATGAATATCTCAGAATCCAAGGGAGATAGCAAAATTTCTATCATAACCTTTTTTGTAGAGCCGATTGAGAGCTACAACAAATGTATTTAAAAAATGTCACTATCTCCCTTGGATTCGGAAATATTCCTCAAAAACTCAACTGGAAGATAATTCGACTTAACCGTTTACCACTTCCCTACTGATTTAAAAGTAAAAAATATTAATTTTGCCCCTCAGGGCATGCCGGAAGGGGCCGAAAAAGGTCGCGTAACAGGTCTCAATAGATAATCAAAGAAAAATAGCGAATGGAATAATTGTAATAACTCACTCCAACGTTCTATGACAGTTGTCTTCGCCTTCTCCGACGTCTCAACGTTTTTCGCAGTCTCCGCAACTGCAGTACCAAAAGACCGCAATTTATTTCGCACTGAGAGACTAGTGCGTAACACTGACATCATGAAAATCAATTGAAAATGATTTTCTTGCGATATTATGCTAGGTTATTACTCGCCTTTCAAACACATCGCAATTGATTGGCTCATTTTGGAGCAGAATAGTCTCTGAGATGTCGCCATTGTTCCCACACAGCTGTTTTCCCTTCCGTGTGATGAGCCACGGACGAATCACTGACATGAACGTTGAACGTCAGCGTGTTCACCGCCTTCTTTGTTGAGACACTTAACTCCAACAATCCACAACAATCGGAGTGAAGCGAATATTATTATTTTATATTCCTTTTTTCGTTGGAGGAGGCATTATCCCTTCGTTCAAAGGACTTTTGTCGATTTACAGAGGCAGTGGAAGCGCTTCAAATGATACTGAATCCGGGTGCACAACAAATCAACTGGTATTTATCCCCACGATTGTCTCATCATGTTAATGTGTTTGACATTAATGCTGTGATCTCCACTCTGTGCATATCATTTACTAGTCATAAGAATCAGGGGGCTATCGACAGGTGGTTGACACCGCATTATCGCAATATGCGTTCTACATGTTCAAATTAAATTCTGAATATCGTGTTGTTTTTTTATTCATTCCAGCCGCCAGTGACGAGGTGGATTCGTACATAATGTCGAGGGAGATCTCCAGCGGGTTGAAGTAGCAGTGGAAATTGCCACGAGCGAGTCGTGCGGGTTTTGGATACATTTTTGAGAATTTTTTGGATAGGTTTTTGTGTTGAGGAGAATTTTTCGTACGTGGGAGGAGATATGGAAGGCCAGCAGGTTTGTGATGATCTCATACTCATGAGTATCCTTTAATTAAGTGCACTTTTAGCTCTCGAATGGCTTTAATTGGGGATTTTTTTTTGTTATGGGTTATCGACTTTTTTCGTAAATTAGTCGGAGGGATTGTTCAATTTTTCAAAAACTAGATTTTTTCGAATTATTTATAAAACAAAGTCTCAATCTACAAAAACTGCTATTTTTCGATTATTTTAGTTTATTTTAAACTGTTTTCTTAAGGTTTAAAATGAAAAACAAACTTGAAGCCCTCGAACTTTAAATAATAAATGAAAAATCTTTGAAGAATGAGTGGTAATTCATTGGTTTAGAATAAATAATAAGAGAAATTTTTCGAGAGCTTAATTTTTTTTTTGGAATTGGATCGATTTCTGATAAAATTCTGAATATGGACTAATTAGTGAGGATTTTAAAAGCATGATTCTTAGGAGAAATAATTCTGAAACATTCTACAACAATACAGTAACCCAGCCATGAAGTTTTTAAGTGAATTTTGACTATCAGTCAATTTTCAATGAATATCTCGGAATCTAAGGCAGGCAGCAAAATTTTCGTCAGAACCTTTTTTATAGCTCTCAATTTGCTCTACGAAAAAGGTCATCACGGAAATTTCGCTATCTCCTTTGGCTTCGGAGATATTCCTCGAGAACTCGGTTAAGGGACAACTTAGGGGCGAGTGGGACGAACTAAAACATGGGGCAAAATGAAACAGTCAAGAAAACGAGTGTTTGACGCAATTCAAGCCAAAAAAAAATTTTCCGTACTGCTTCGCACTTTTTCCAGTTCGAGGATTGGCAATTTCATATGTAATTTCATAAATTTTTAGTTTGGTGACTGATCCATCCCCAAACTGGTAAAAGTGAACTACGGAAAAATATCGTACGCGTCTAGTACCAGTAGCAGTCGTCACAAAATATACTAGTTTATTAAATATTTTTTTTATCAACTTTTTTTTACTCTTGGGAGTACTGATGAGAATAATCATTTTCTATTCAGTAGAATGGAAAGAAAAGAAAATGAAACAGCAAAATCGAAAATCCAGAGCAAGGCGCAGGGAGAGACTCAGAGGGGGAAAAAGGAGCATATGATGCCGAATTTCAATCCAACAATCCATTGACAAAATATTCGCCGATCAAAACTTCTCAATAATTTTCCATTCTACTGAATGGGAAATTATTATTCTCATCAGTACTCCCAAGAATAAAAAAAAAGTTAACTAAGAAAAAATTTAATAAAAAAATTTTTTTTACTTGAATTGCGTCAGTCGTTTTTTTGACCATTTCATTTTGCTCCGCTGTTTCATTTTGCCCCACTCCCCCTAAGTCCTCTTACCCCTTCACTACTGAATATTAACTCCATATGAATAGGTCAGAGCAGTATATGACTTCTCTGGAGAGGCAGGAACCGCTGAACTATCGATAACAGCCGGTGAAATTCTCACAGTAACCCGGGAGAATGTGGGCGACGGCTGGTGCGAGGGATACAATCAGCACAAGAAATCGGGCCTCTTCCCAGCGGCATACGTCGAAGCCGTGGAGGCCCCAGCCCCTGCAGCTATGACCCAGAGCTCAGGGGACTACTGGGACGACGACTGGGACGATGACTCCGAGGTCGGACAGACCCAGGCCTACGTACCTCCCGCAAATATCGAACAGAATCTAATATTCGGGCAATCGAGTCTCGACCATGCCTCCATGCAGCACGTCCACTCGGTCATCTCGGAGAGAACAATTCCAAATGTACCAAAGAAAAATAACAAATTCTCAACGCTTATAAAATCTGGAGAGGATAGCTTTCTTCTCGGGAATAAGACAGTTCCGGTTCCGGAGAGTGAGAAGATTTTTATCGAGGAAACCGAGGATGGACGGTGTATATGGCTGCCAACGGGGGAGCGTTATAGTTGTGTCATAACGTCACCGAAAAAGGAGTCGAAACTCAAGGGTCTCAAGAGCTTTATAGTCTATCAACTTACGCCCACGGTGAGATACTGCACAGAAATACATTTATTGCTTGAAGATTTCAATGAAGTTATTCATTTATTTTTCTTTTATTACGCACAAAACCTGTCGGTTTATACAGCTGAGAGAAATATATATATATACATTACTATTGTATATATGTGAGGTATTCCACGTCAAATGAGTCAATCGCTACCCTCACCCTCTTGAAAATTAATGGCGATTTTTTCTACGATCGGGGAGGTTGAAAAACTATCTCTCAAATTTTTTCACATTTTTTCGGCAGCCCAGTTCGGAGATGTGATTTTTTCACATTTTTCCGTTTTTTCCAATAACTCGAGTTCTATTTGTCTGATTTTTATTTATTAAGCGTCAAAATTTTCCGTGTTTTTACCGCCTATACGACTATTTTCAGTTTTTTTTTTTTCGATTCCTAGATGCTCATAATAACGAATTTTCGAAAAAAAAAAGTTGAAAAACTTGAATTTCGCAAATTATGTCACGGTTGATATTCAAATTTTTTTTTTCAGTAATTCTCATAATCAAAACAAGTATTTCGAGCTGTCATTCAAGTTGGGCATCCTCGTGGATCTATGTTATTTTTAATGTTTTCTTTTGGAAATTTCGCAAATTTGGTTAAAACACCATAAAACGACTTCGACTATGTATTTTAAAAAATATGTAATATTTAGATATACAATCAAATTCATTTTATACTGTCTATAATCAAAGTCAATCAACGCCATTTTGAGGTGTTGCGACCAAATTTACGGAATTTCGAAATGAAAAAATTGAAAATAAAGTAGATCCAGGATGATGCCCAACTTGTATGATGGCTCAAAATACTTATCTTGATTATAAGAATTACTGAAAAAAAATGAAACAAATCATCCGTAACGTAATTTGCAAAATTCAAGTTTTTCAACTTTTTTATTCGAAAAGTCGTCGTTATGCGCATCTAGAGATCGAAAAAAAAATTTTTCACTAAAAATATTCTTATAGTCAGTAAAAAATGAAAAATTTTGACGCTTAATAAATCAAAATCGGATGGATAGAACTCGAGTTATTAAAAAAAAACGGAAAACGAAACAAAAATCATATCTCCGAACCGGGCTGCCGCAAAAATCTGAAAAAATTTGAGATATAGTTTTTCAACCTCCCCAATCGTAGAAAAAATCGCCATCAATTTTCAAGAGGGTGAGGGTCAGCGGTTGACTAATTTTGGCGTGGAATACCTCATATACAATAATGACTAGAATTAATAGACAACAATAATTACAATAATTACTATAATTATAAAATTAATTGTTATAGTAATATTACTACAACAATGTTAGTAATGTTAGTAACCATTTGTAATATCTTGTTGCTGGACATGTGTAAAAAAAACTCTTTATATAATTTCATTCTACCCTTAGCGGATTTTATCTCAGAGCATCAATAAGGAGCTTATGAATGAATAATTTAGAGTCGCCACGATGAATACATTCAATAAAACGTTTGTTATTGCAGTTCAATAACATCCAAGTCTCCCGAAGATACAAACGCTTCGACTGGTTGCACGAGAGACTAGAAGAGAAATTCTGTTTCATATCAATTCCCCCCCTTCCGGACAAACAAATATCAGGAAGATACGAGGAACAGTTCATTGAACACCGACGAACGCAGCTCCAGGAATTCGTGGATTACGTCTGCAGACACCCAGTCCTCTCCCGCAGTCGTGTCTGGGAGCATTTTATAACGTGTACAGACGAAAAACGCTGGAAGGCGGGGAAACGAGCAGCTGAGAAGGATGAACTCCTGGGGGTGAACTACTTCAACGCGATCCAGTGCTCCGACGCCTCACTAGATGCCATCAAAGTTGAAATTCAAACAGACGCTTTTTCGAGATTTATCAATGGGTTGGACCCTGTCGTCAAGAACTTCATGGCTATGGCTATGGACCAGGCGAAGAAACATCAGGGACTGTACAAAAGGGAATTTCAGAAAATTGGACAATCTTTTGTTTCGCTGGGGCACGCTCTGGAGGGAGACATGGGGAGACTCACGCAAGCTTTGAAATTGACTGGAGAAGCTTATAATGATATTGGAAAATTGTATGAAGACCAACCCAAGTTTGACTGGGAACCTCTTGCCGATAAATTTCACATATACAGAGGAATTATTGGGGGATTCGCTGATGTTATAGGTATCCACAAGGTAATTTTCATCAATTTCAATGAAATTATTTTTCAGAATTTTTTTGTAGCTCTGATTTTTCTCTAGAAAGCAAGCACGGGTTCAATCCCATCCGACAGAGGGCATGTGACCGTTACTTTTTGCGTTATTAGTCCTTTTCTTTTTTTTCATTTCTACCAATTCCATTGGTAGTGAGCTTCCGAAAGGATCCTTAGCAATTCCCTACGGAAAGGTTTTCTTTTGTATGAAATAGCTTTATACAAAAGGTTAAATATCTCCGAAACTGCTCGGCCGATTGCGCCTATCCAAAATAGGAATCTTCAATATTGTAAGAGCTAGAATCACACTAAATTTCAACTTGCTATTTTCATTTTTTCTGAAAATACCGTGCGTGCTGGAATGAAAAAATTTTAAAAACGAAAAAACGGGAATATCTCTGAATTTTTGTATGGACGGGTATACATATTTTGATTGATGTAGATAGTGGCCATCGAGACAAGTATTTTGAAAAAAAAAAAATTGAAATCGTTGGAGTAGATTTTGAGATATTGAGGAAAAACGTAATTTAAAGAAGTTGTTATATCTCAGGAACTACTGGATCGATCGGGCTGAAACTACGCACCAAAGTGAAGCTTAATCATAGCTATCATGAGCCTAAATTTCAGATTTTTATCGACATATTTCACCGTATTTATGTTGAATTTTCTAAAAATTGATCACCAAAAACCCAAGTTGTCACACACATACTTACAGTCATGACCCTAAAAACATCATTTCTTCACGTTTCATAACATTCTAGACCATTTGCCATCAAAATTAGAAAATCGAAAAATCGCTAAAATACAAGCCTTCCATTCGGAAGCAAAAACGCTTGATGATAATTTCGAAATTTTTCTTAGATTTCTAGATACTTAACAAAAACCGTTTGACCATATCTGTATTGAACTAGACTATTCATCTTGAAATATAAAGCCGACTGTAAAACAATTTGTCCCTCTATTCTCTCAATTTTTGAATTATTTTTGAGGAGATTTATGAGACTAATTCATCTTTATATTCACGTTTTCATGTTTATTTTTTTTATTCAGAGCGCAGTGCAAAAAAGAAAAGACTGCGAACGTCTAGTAACCGAGCATAAAATGGAATCAAATCAACTGAGAGAGCTTTCTCGAAAAACAGACGTTATAGCCCGAGCTCTAATGGCTGAAGAAGCATATTTCCAAACAGAACGAGAGGTGCATATCCAACAAGCCATGAAGAACCATCTCACTGAGCAAATTCGTTTCTACCAAAATATCGTGGCCAAGCTACAAGACGCACTAGCAGCTTACGATGCATGAGTTGATATTTGATGCAGGAAACATCATTGTTATTTCTTCTCGTTATTACTCCACTTTACACTGCATTTCAATGAGTATTATGGTACGTTTTCATACCATCGCGAGAGAATGACAGGCTAATTCTCTTGAAAAATTGATGAGTGTTAATAATTATTGATTTCTAAATTTCTTTAACACTGGAATTGTATATATCCAAATAATAATGTAATAACAATCATGATTCTCATTAAAATAAATAAATAAATGTCACACATTTTCACTCGTTGTTGGTTTTTTTTTCTTCAGGCAATCAGAAATTTGGGGGAAGAATTCTAATCGCAGAGATTTTATCGCGAGAAAATAAAAATTTAACTCCCTGGGAAAATTATTGAGTGCTAACAATTATCGATTTTTTGAATTTTTAACACTGGAATTGTATGTATCCGAATTAAAATGTAACAACAACAATGGTGTTTATTATTTCTATTTTAGTCCAGATTTTCCTCGAAGGTCAAGATTTCAGTCTAGATTTTGCTAGAGGATAAAATGAGAAAAAAAATGTCACAAATTTTCATTCGTTGTTAGTGTTTTTCGTCACGCAATCAGGAATTTGAGAAAAAAATTCAATTCAATTTCAGAAATATGTGTATTTTCGAGTAACATTATAATAATCATAAGCACTGTACATATTTTCTTTAATATTTCATCTGAATATATTGCTCTGACTTTTCGTTCGCAAAAGAAAAGAAAAACGTACACACACATAGAAATGAATAATTACGTTTTTTCTCGAAATACATTACTAAATACAGTATTCCATTCAATAAACCTTTTCCTTAAAATCTTGTATACATATTAATCCATTTGAGTTTCAACAATATGGCCAAGGGTCGGACGGACCACCGTGAAATGCACGTAAATTCATAATTTATCAACCGGTAAAAGCTGTACTTTAGACAAAACGAAGCGAAGTTTAAACATCTCAGTTGATATATTCTCGAAAAATGGCATTCACAGTTTAAAGTTGAACATTTTCAAAGAAATTACGTACCATTCCTATTGAATTAAGCATTGTTTCCCACAGCACGAAACGAAATAATTCAATTATCTATCATATCTAAAGTCAACAATACGAATTTACTAATTGTATCCCCATTCTCAACCCCACCTTTTGCATTTTGTTAATAAACTTTTGATAGTTAGCCACAGACAGGAAATAATATTCACGCTGACTAAGATACAAATTCTACAATTCGAGTTTTCACATGTGAAATAATAAAAATATATATCTGATTGCGCTATTTACACGAGGAACAGTGTGTGCAGATCTTCCCGAAAAAAAAGAGAAGAAATTAATAATGAATAAAATCGATGTGTCATTGCCATGAAAAATAATTATATAAAACACATCAACGAGACTCTTCTAAAATTGTTTGAAAAATTCATTCCACAAGTCTACCTGCATTACTCATCACGCATTTATGGTGCATCTCAGTCAGCTTTGATAAAAGTTTTCATTAAAATGCCATGTACAATTATATAACGAACTATCTATAGTATAGTGCATTGTACATACAATTCCGTTAAAAATATCAGCAGAAATTATGTATAGAATTTTTTATATATGTACAATATACATATACACGAATACATGTATTGAGAGTCACTCCACGTTGATTTCACAGTGTGAAATTATTCCCAACGGTGCAACATCCATTAGTATACTATGGCTCATTAGAATGTTTATAATAATATTCATATACGTTGTAGCGAGTTTTGACCGACATATTGCCACGTTATAATTCAAATATCCATACTAGCAATGAAATGAGAAAATTTCTTGTTCTCTAGAATTTCTTATGTATCATAAACTTCATTATTGTTCATAGCTATTTCATTAACCATTAATTATCCTCAAAAAATATATTAATTTAACTGGTGAGCGGTCATTGATCAGACGGTTCGACAAACATTTTGTCCCCGCAAAAATATCTTCATCTTTTCTACACTTAACGTCATTTTATCGTGTCTTAAAATACCTTATCCCTCCTCATAAACTAAAAAAAAAACTGAACAAAAAACAGAAATAAAACAATCTAAAAACGATATGTCGTTGTATCATTCATAAATCGGACCTAAAGGAATGTCGATGTGTTCGAGAAACAATACAGAGAGATAGAAATATCAAAGGTAGTCGAGCGAAAGATGTCGTTTCAGAATCGAAACCAAGAAACAATAGTAGAGAAGGAGAACCAAATGAAATCACCAATATCTCGCGATCGGCAGAGTGGAATTCCCCTTTTTTTTTTTCATTTTGAAGGTATTTTTTCCGGCCTCAAAATGAGCCCGGCCTTTTCAAAATCGCATCGTTCGTTCACGAGATATTGACGATCCAAGGTTCACTGAATTCCTCCAAAAATGAGAGCATTTGAGATTCAAGATTTTTTGTGTCTATGCTGTTTCCTAACTGGATAGATATCTTTTCCAAAGAGTGTCGTAAGTGCCGTGCGTGTATTATGCCACGGAAGCTTGAAGCGTTTGTGACGAAAGTACATTTGTGAGCAAGAAGCGTTAGGTAAAGTGGGTGGATTAATCGGTGGCTCAAGTATTTGCTTCAGTTGTATGTATTTGGTGTTGCTCCCGATGTCCGATGGCGATGATTCGGATTGGTTATTTGCGACTGATCCCCTCTGGATGCCGTTGGGTTGCCTATGGAGGGGCCTGTCGAACCTAGGGATCCCTGTCCCCGTTGCTGCTGCTGCTGCTGCTGTTGTCCGCTGTTGAGGGCCAGCCTCTGCATCTGGCGTATAACCGTGGCCGCGTGATAGGCTTGCTGCAACCATGAGACAACAGGGAGACTTTCCTGAGGAGCCTGGCGAGCAAATACAGATAATGAGACGATTGTAAAAAATTCGACTGTACTAACCTTCCACCTCGACTTGGCAAAGTTCTTTTTAAGTTGTTCCGATACAGTACCGTGGATATTCTTATTGCTCGCTGCATTTCCTGATATCCTAAAAACATTATCGCACACGATGATTATGATGAATTGAGGATTATGGTTGCACGTACGAAGAAATTGTGTGAAAAACTCTAGCGAATTTGGGAGAAAATTATATGGGATTTGGTAGAAAAAATATAGAAATTGAATTTTCGAAGAGATGGAGGAGACAAATTAAGGCCCGGGTGGATTTTGTTTCGAACGTTATCTCGATTGTTTTCCATCTTCATAATGTAAAATATTATTTAATTAATTGATTATTGCTTCCGCATGGAAGCCTTGTATTTGAGCGATTTTTCGATTTTCTAATTTTGATGGCAAATGGTCTAGAGTGTTATGAAACGTGAAGAAATGATGTTTTTGGGGTCATGTCTGTATGTATGTGCGTGACAACTTGGGTTTTTGGCGATCAATTTTTATAAAATTCAACATAAATGCGGTGAAATTTGTCGATAAAGTCTGAAATTTTGGCTCATGGTAGCTATGATTAAGATTCACTTTGGTGCGCAGTTTCAGCCCGCTCGGTCCAGTAGTTCCCGAGATATAACAACTTCTTTAAATCTCGTTTTTCCTCAATATCTCAAAATCTACTCCACCGATTCCAATTTTTTTTCAAAATACTCGTCTCGATGGGCCTCTATCTAGATCAATCAAAATATATATACCCGTTAAGACAAAATTTGAAGATATTGCTGTTTTTCCGTTTTTTCATGAAAAATCTTGTTTACATGATAACTTAATAAAAAATGGAGATAGTGAATTGAAATTTTGTGTGCTTCTAGCTTTTATAACATAAAAGGTTGGTATTGTGGATGATTCTTGAGATATTCAACCTTTTGTGTAAATATATTTCTTCAAATATCTCATGAACTACTGGACGAATTTCAATTTTCTATTCAAAATATTTGTCTCGGTGGCCACTATCTAGATCAATCAAAATATGCATACCCGTTCATACAAAGATTCAGAGATATTCCCGTTTTTTTCGTTTTTAAAATTTTTTCATTCTTATACGCACGATATGTTGAAAAAAAATGAAAATAATAAGTCGAAATTTGGTGTGATTATAGCTCTAACAATATTGAAGATTCGTATTTTGGATAGGCGCAATCGGCCGAACAGTTTCGGAGATATTTAACCTTTTGTATAAATCTATTTCATTAAAAGGTTGAATATCTTCCTGTAGACTATGCCTATCACAAGAACAGGGAATTGCTACGGATCCATTCGGAAGCTCACTACCAATTGAATTGGTAGAAATGAAAAAAAAAGAAAAGGACTAATAACGTAAAAAGTAACGGTCACATGCCTTCTGTCGGGTGGGCTCGAACCCCTGCTTGTTTGATTGTGCAAGTATAATTTTTGGAGACCCCAGGGCTATGTAAAACTTAATAACAATTGGAGATCATTTCAGATTATCAAAATAAAAAAAACAACCAAGATCGCATTCAAAAGATAATCCACCCGGGCCTGAAGTCAAACAAACTTGGAAAAATCGTGTTGAGAAATGGATTTTCCTATGAAAGAGTCTCTATTGGACATTTTCCATTAAGAAATGAGCAGTAAAGCCGCGGAATTCTCCGATAGAATTGAATAGAAATCCAATAGAATTTTTCAATGGAATTTTTTCGTGTGTGTGATAAAAGCCTATGAACGTTAATGACACTGATAACACTGTTATTACAAAAGATAATGAAACAAACCATGGATGTGCTAGAGCCTGCTTGCAAGTGTATCGCTCTTCGACATTAACGCACATGAGTTTGTGAATGAAATCCTTGGCTGAATCGCTTATGTCGTCCCAGTATGGTGAATCGAATTCAAACTCACCTGTAACAGTCTGGTTAACTTTCACTGGCACTAAATCGGGGTGAGAGGGATCAAAGATGGTGATAAATCAGGTGTCAGAGGCCTGATAGAAATTGTTGATTTGAGAATTTCCACACGAGTTACTTACAAGTCAAGGGAATTACTCAATCGGGGCTGTAATGAATTTAGTCAGGACATATCAGAGAGATTTTTACCGGTCATACGTGACTCATAGTTGTCTCGATATCGTCGAAGAATCTTTGTTCATTACAGATGTGACAAATTGGTATTTGGGAGATATGTTAGTTGTAGGTGGCGAGCGAAACCATTACCTTTCAAAATTTGTGCGAAGAGATTGGCATCACTCTCGTCGTAGAATGGTGGATAGCCACATAACAAGATGTAAGATATGACCCCTATGCTCCATACGTCGACGGCCTTGCCGTAGGGCCTTTGTGCCAGTACTTCGGGAGCTGGATACCATGATTATTGAAATTATTATTCGTGTAATTTTTGTTATGGGAATTTTGGACAATTTATTCAAGTCTATTGTTGGGCTGGGCTGTTGAGTCTTCAATGAATAAGTAACGAATAAATCGTGAACATCACTGGTGGAGAAAAAGTAATGTTCAGGAGAGCGAGATTGAAATTCAGTAGCGAAGTGGTAAAACGGTTCATGTCAATTTTCACTATTAGCCAGTTTTCAATGAATATCTGGGAATCTAAGGGAGATAGCTGAATTTTTATTATGACCTTTTTTGTAGAGCCGATTGAGAGCTACAACAAATATGATTACGAAAATTTCGCTATCTCCCTTAGATTTCGAGATATTCGTCAAGAACTGGCCAATAGTCAAAACTGACTTGACCCGGTTTACCGCTTCGCTGTTGAATTAAACTGCAATTCCCGAAATTCCTCGAAATTTCCTAATATGATAAGAATTCCCGAGAGCTGCACCGGAAATTCCATCCAAAAATTTCGAAGAAACCTCTGAACATACCAACATATCCCGGAGTGCCACAAGCAGTCGCCATGATCCCCGAATCCTCCATTTTCGAAAGACCAAAGTCACTTATCATAATTTTACTATCCTCATCTGGGCTGTAGTAAAGAAGATTCTCAGGCTTCAAATCCCGATGTACGACACCCTGTTCGTGCATGTAGTCCACAGCCTCCAACACTTGTCTTATCAACCCTGAGGCATCCTTCTCCGTGTACGACCCCTTCTCCACTATTCTATCGAATAATTCTCCTCCCGTCACCCTTCAAAGACCACATACAACAATGAATTGTACTGAACAATTGCAGTTGCACTCAACAATTATCCCTGAGGACACTTACAATTCCATTATGAGATAGACCTTATGCTTATCCTCGAAGGTCTCCAACAGCTGAACGATATTGGGATGTTTCAACCTAAAACAACCATTCCATATAACTCATCTAAGAAAACTCCCAACTCCGCGTTCCATTTTTAATTCCCAATGATGATGGACACGGACGTGTTTATTAGATCAATTGAATGGAGTTAAAAGATGAACCGTCCAGTCTCTATTCCCATCCGCAATCTCATAGCCTTAGCATTAAATGTATCACATGTGAATTACACGCGAAATTATGATGAAGCTGAAACTGGCGGAGTATTCGCCAGCGGAACGCGTACGAAAAATTTAACAGAAAAACCTAGCGAATTCGCTAGAAAATTGTATTCCATTTCTATAGAAATTCCTCGACTCTAATTTGCCATGTTTTTTAAAAATTTGTTTCTTCATGAAAAGAGAAGAAAATTAGAATGAGAACGGAGAAAATTCGTATTGAGGAATTTCTGTGGAAAATGTCTCAATAGGAAAAGATGAAATTCCACTGATTTTTTTCTATAAAATAGTTTCTATCGGACACATTTTATGTAAAAAAAACGCGCAGTAAAGATGCGAAATTTTTCAATAAAATCGGTAAACTATTCATAGAATTCTCGATAGAAATGAAATTCCTAAAATCAAAATTTTTCCAGAGCGTTCCATAATTTTTACTGAACATGTCCCTCCGTGGATTTTACTCTTGAAAATTTTCAATCCAGAAGTTTCTTGATACAGTGGTTACTGCCTAACATTTCGCTTCCCTAACATTTCAGTCGGAGAAGTTGACTTCCCCCACCATCGACAACGTAAACGTGTTTGGGTAAATCTGTGTGTCCCTCTGCGCGACGGGACTGCGCAGTAAAATTACTCTCGGGGTGTGAGAGTGAAACAGGCAGATTCTTTCTCTCTGTTTATCTCTTTCCTATAGCTCCGCCTCCAACGGAAGAATTCGCGATCGCAACGTAGATGTGGGAGCCATCAAGTGATCTCTCCACTAACTACTCTTGGCGGGCAACCAATGAGATCACTGGATTCACTTTGATCTCATTGGTTGAGCTCCATCATTGGTTCCCTCCGAGGGATCTCATTGGTTGCCCCCCAAGAGTAGTTAGTTTAGAGACCACTTGATGGCTCCCACATCTACGTTGCGATCGCGAATAAGGGCTTCCCGAACATTTAACCCCTCACGGACGGGGGCCTTTTGTTTCCAAGTATACAAACGCTCGATACAACTAAAATGCAATGACTTCTAATCGACGCAAAATTATGAAACTGATATTTAATTGAAGCTGCAGTATTCCTTTTCTCGTTATTATTTGTTTGCACGTATGAAAAAATCTAGAAATTTTCTATACGGATTGCGTATAGAAATTCTATAGGATTTCCGTATATGATATTCGGATATTTCCATACGAATATTTATTATACGAATTATTTCTATAGGGGACGGTGGGGCAAAATGAAACACGGGGCAAAATGAAACAGCAAGAAAATCTTGTGATCTAAGGGAGATAGGACGATTTTCATGAGAACCTTTTTTGTAGAGAATTTTACAAGCTACAAAAAAGGTCCTCTTCAAAAATGTCCTATCTCCTTTAGATGACGAGATTTTCCCACTGTTTCATTTTGCCCCATGCTCCCCTACATAAATTTTTACATAAATTTTTGTTTTCATATGGAAGATGTTAACGCTCCAGAGAAAAATGTAGAGAAATGTCGCAACTCCATACGAAATGTTTCTATAAATGTGGCAGTGGGTCGTATAGGATCAAACTTATAGAAATCGTATAGAAATAATTTGTACTAGCGAACGGGTCCTAGATTAATTCCCGTCCCTAGATTAATTTATGTTATTTTATTTAATTTAATTTTCTTTTCATTTGCGTCTTCACAATTAGATTAATTTAATTTAGAACACTGAATGAAGAGGAATTATATATATTTTGGTTCCATATGTATACCCTCTCGGGTTTTTACATTTTGTTCCCTTCCCTATCTGCGTTACCATGGGCCGACTTACTTTATCCCCAACTGCACCCCATTCGGGATTGGACTGCCAGGGAAACCATGGAAAACTTCAGTCATGCAGCCGGCCGATAATGCAGGGATTCCACTGTGTCTATCGGTCACACTGACTCAATGGGCACAGTGGTTCTCTACATTCGTGCCTAGCGACTGTAGTCCCACGCGGTTAGGTGCGCCCAAGCGGACACCCATCCAAGTACCGGGCAGACTGAACGCTGCTTAGCCTGGATGGCCGCCGGAGTCACACTCCCCGCGTGACCACTACAGCCACTAAGAGGAATTATATTAAAGATCAATCAAAAGTGGGTTTTTTATGAACAATTTTACGATCGGCTAGAAAATGGTGAAAATTTGTTTTTCTTCATTTCTGTCGGTGGAAACATGAAATCGCTGTTTTTGTCGAATACGGGCGCAATATGAATGTTTTGGAATTTTATGAACTAATTTTAACGCGAAGAAACGAAAAAACAAAAAAACGTAGGCGGGGAGAACTTGAAAAAAAAAAAAACATTTTTCAACGTCTCCGGGAAGTTTTAAAATCGATATATTTATTCGAATAATGGAAGAATACCCATCAACTGGATTTCTATCCTCGTCTTTTGATAGAATGAATAGAATAAATGACGGAAATTGAGAATTGGAGATTAAAAATTTTATCGGATTATTATTATGTAATTAAAAATATCCGTATAGAAATATCCGAATATCATATACGAAAGTCCTATAGAAATTCTACACGCAATCTGTATAGAAAATTTTTGTACGATTTTTTTATACGTGTGGTTGAGTTAAATTCCATAGTTTTGGGAATAATCAATTTTAAAGAGAGTCATTCACATTTTCATGAGTCGATGCAAGGCATTCACTCCGTACGTGAGAGGTTAATAGGGAACTTGCATGAATTTTGTTTATTTTTCATTTCGAAAGGTCATCATTTCAATATTATATTTTTAGAATCTAAACTTTCAAAAAGTTGCACAATAATCACTAGCTAATTATTGAAAATTGCATACTTTTAAAACGCTCATGACGTCACGTCACTGGTTAACCGCTAGCCGACCAATCACACGACGTATGTGAGACAAGCTAACCTACTTTCTGCGCGCGCATTCTATATACAATATACAGAGACGTCACTGACCAGTGAGATGACGTCATGAGGTGTTTTCAGAGCATTCAAAAGACCTAATTTTCAAATCGTTATTATAAATTATGCAAGTGAAATTTCGTGGAATTTTCAGTAATTCAACTGTCTACTGGGTACGAACATTCTATCAAACGAGTGATGAGCAGATACTGAACTTCGTGCAAGTTCCCTATTCCTTGAATTCTGGCCCCAGAGGCTGAAATGATAGGGAGTAATCACTGTCTAAGTAGAGACGTATTTCTTAAAAATGACTCAAAAATATTCGTAAGTCCTAGATTCGCCTAAATCGCACGTTCCGCTGGCGGACGTTTGGCTCCTCTCAGCTTCACGAAATTATGACTTCCGGACGGAGCATACGGATGCCTCAAAAGGCCAGCCATCACCTGCTCACGATTAATTACTCCATCACGAAGGTTGCCCATTGAATTTGGCCCATTTATGCATATCAATTAACGCTAAATACTCGATCACACATACAGCTGTTGTATAACACAAAGAAAAAAAAAACTAAAGAAAGAGATAAGAAGCAGCAGGAAGTCGGGCACACATGCAATAGCGCAATACCATAGGTAAAACCAATAAATACGGAAAATAATAGAGCAGCTGCGACTAAGGATACATCTAGCACGTTATTTATCATATTATTTCACTGATATGTTATTATTAGTATATGAAATTCCGCAAACTCATAGCTGAGTGAATTTTTCAGATATATTTCACGCCCATTGGACCGACGTCGATGCGCCAACAATAATACCCATTGAAGGATGTGATTCGTGTCAGAATTATGATAGTAATGACGACATTGTTGTTAAAATCATTATCAATGAATTTCTTTCGTTATTAATGGATAAGATAGCAGTGAATAACTCAACGGGGGTGACTGATGTCAAGTATATCAGTATGGAAAATAAGACTCGACCTTGAATGGTGGATTGAATATCACTGATCTGTCATATCTGGATGATGCTGAAACCAGCGGAATATTCGACAGCGAAAAATTCAATTCAGAGGATATTCGAGGTCTTAAGGGCCAAACGATCGTGTGAGGAAATTTTCTTTTTAAGTGGAAACGAGTTCGCTTGTGATTCAAAAATATTGGCAGGGAATTTAAACCGTCAGCACTCGCGCCATGAGAGAATCTCACACGCTTTTCTCATGATTTATTGAAATATGCTAGACAGGTTTTATCGACCCCAGAGGAAAGAGGGATAGTTGCTTGAGGCAATCAAAGAGTTTCAATCAAAAATCTCAATTTTTTGACTGTTTCGTATTCCCTGGAAAGTTGTGCGAAAGACAGTCATATAGCGTGAGGGCTGATGGGTTAAGGTGATTTTTACCGTAGATGTGAGGTAGATGTTTACGCGTATTGGGCGTCCTTTTTTGCAGTAATTACACGGGAGATTTTACCTTGGATCAGTTGAAAGGGTCACAAGGGAGGGTCAATCGAAATGGTGTGACCATCACTGCTCATGAACAGTTACAGTGAGTGAAATAGTATATTTCTAACCTTGGGAGGGAAAATAAAGGATCCTCAGCCGCCAGTGCAATTACCAGCCGAGCCGAAGGCGAGGTTGGTAAGCACGCGGCTGAGGGTCCTTTATTTTACTTCCCGTGGTTAGAACGCGATTTTCCGTCTTGGCGTAGGCGCAAAGTCAGAGTTCCCTCACGCGAAGCGGGAGGGAAATGTAACGTTGCGCCCGCCGGGACGGAAAAAAAATTATGACTCTAAATCTCAATGCCATGACTCATCGTGCTAGTATTTTTTTTTAAATTCGAATTAAAAATGAGTGCAGTTTTTGTTTTCAGTGTATTCTGAATGAGTGATAATGCAAAATTTGGAATTTTGAAATAGATAACTTAATAAATAATACTCAAAATTATAATCTCGTACAATAGATTATTCTATTTATGTAAAAAAGGGTGGATGAAGCTGAAACTCGCGCAAAATTCGACTGCGAAATATTCAATTCGAGGAAACTTTTTTTTCAAGTGCAAACGAGTTTCTCATGACTTGGAAATACTTGCACACCCCTAGATTCACCTGAATAGAATCTTTCGCTGATTTCAGATTCATCACAACTGGACGGTTACAAAGCAGCGAATTGCCAATCGTGTGTGTCTCATTCAATGTTTCGCCAAGATCTCGAATATAATTAATTGATAGAAAAGAAACGTGTCACCATGAAGCCAATGAATTCATCTCAAATACCAGAAATCATTTGATGCTCATGAACAGTTACAGTGAGTGAAAATTAAAAAAAAAATACCTTTAAATCTCAATGCCACGACTCTCAGACCCCACACGTATGAAAAAATCGTATAGAAATTCCATACGCAAACAAATCCGTAATTTTCTATACGGATTGCGTATAGAATTCCTATAGGATTTTCGTATATGATATTCGGATATTTCTATACGGATATTTTTTATACAAATTATTTCTATACGATTTCTATAGGTTTGATCCTATACGACCCACTGCCACATGTATAGAAACATTTCTTATGGAGTTGCGACATTTTTTTACGTTTTACTCTGGAGCGTTTAGACATCTTTCGTATGAAAACAAATATTTATGTAAAAATTTATGTGTAGAAATAATTCGTATAGAAAATATTCGAATAGAAATCCGTATAGAAAATTTCTACATGATTTTTTCATACGTGCATGACTCATCGTGCTAGTATTCTCTCTTAATTCGAATAGAAAATGAGTGCAGTTTTGTTCTCAGTATGTCCTGAATGAGTGATAATGCAAAATTTTCAATTCGAGGAAACTTTTTTTTCAAGTGCAAACGAGTTTCTCATGACTTGAAAATACTTGCACACCCCTAGATTCACCTGAATAGAATCTTTCGCTAATTTCAGATTCATCATAACTGGACGGTTCCAAAGCAGCGAATTGCCAATCGTGTGTGTCTCATTCAATGTTTTGCCAAAATCTCGAATATAATTAATTGATAGAAATGAAACGTGTCACCACGAAGCCAATAAATTCATCTCAAATACCAGAAATCATTTGATGCTCATGAACAGTTACAGTGAGTGAAAATTAAAAAAAAATGACCTTTAAATCTCAATGCCATGACTCTCAGACCCCATGACTCATTGTGCTAGTATTCTCTCTTAATTCGAATAGAAAATGAGTGCAGTTTTGTTCTCAGTATGTCCTGAATGAGTGATAATGCAAAATTTTGATTGATAATAAACAGAACAGATAAATCAATAAATCATACTGAAAATAATAATCTCGTACAATAGATTATTCTATTTTATATAAAAAAGGGTGGTATAGGTAGCCTGGTTCCCGTTAATGTGGGCCCACACTTACCATCCTCTTTCGCCACTACTATCCGACATCTGGCCTGCACCACTCTGTGGTGTCACTGTTTCACTGAACCTACGAATTACAATAAACACCATACACAATTACATAATTAAATCTAATCGAGTATTTAATTTTTGGTTAATTTTCTTTGAAAATCCAAATCCTGTACGTAAAAGTCTAATTGGAAAAATCAAAACTGGAGAATAAAATGAATATCATCGATATCTGGAGTATTGATGAAACGAATGGATAAGTCAATAGTCTTGGCTACTGGTGTATTACACGGGTAAATGTCGATGGGGAATCTGATAGGTGACTTGTGTTTTCTATTATTTCTCCTCCCTACAGTTACGGTAACATCTTCATTCCTTTGAGTGGCTCCAAAGCCCTCGACAAATGGCCAAAAATCCGTAATTGACCTGAATATTTATCACAAACCAGTGAGCGCACCCTCGCAGTTATTCATGAAATAGGTATTTTCATAAATATACAGATGTTTGTATGATTATTCTGTAAGCGAAATGTTTTGTATACATACATATGAACATATACAACTCACAAAATATACATTTTCAATTATTATGTATCCATGTGAGACGCGAAATGGCTTAAAGTGGAGTGTAAGCGGCGCGCAATAAGATAGAAAGCATGCCAAATAACAAATACTCAAGTTCCAACAAGCGATTTCTTTGGAACTAAGTGCTAAAGTCAAGTTTTCTCATCAATCAATGGTTACGTATAATTAAGTAAGGAAATGTTTAAATAATATTAATAACATTGTCGCAATGGGCCACTCCTCTCAGACATTTTAATGGACAAGAACAGTTTAATGCGTCAGATGTTTATCATATATTTTATTATTACTTCGGGAGTGATGTGAAACGGGGGATAAAGAATAATTGGGATTAGACGTAACAATTAACTGGCTGAAAATTTCCTACCTTCGTAGCACTCTTATTTCATTCTCCAGTGAGTCCTCCTTGCCTTTCAGCGCCTTCTTATCAATTATTTTCACCGCAAACATTTGCCCAGGTCTTTCCTTACTCTCGGCTAGTCGCACTTCTGAGAATGCCCCGCTGGAAGGTAACAATTGCCATTTGTTTTTTAATGATGAGTTTTTTTTATTGATGAGACATTCTTCGCTTGTGTTTCAAGACAATTTTTAATCTGCGATAGCTCGACATTGGTAGAGTGAAATTCAACGTTTTTTTTTATTTTGAGGGTCTTTTTTCTGACTTTCCAATGAATTTTGATTTAATTGCATTGAATCGTTTGGTCGGGGGAAGATTAGATTTTTTTCCAGTGATAGACATATCAATCAATTATAATTACCGTTAAATTGTGAAGTTGTCAATTTTTAACATAAATCTTGAAATTTTGAATGTTAAATTGACCATCAATTTGTACATTTAAATTTCGGGATATTCTGTCAACCAATAATTTAGGTAGGAAGATTGACGATTATTTGGACAATCGAAAATCAAGTACCTAAATTTAGAGTTAGCTTGTTAACTAAAAAATTACATTTCAATATTATCAAATATTTTATTCGCCATCAATCGGAAAATTTAGTTGATAAATTGTATAATATTTTACATTTGTTAAATACCGTTAAACTTTGAACAATATAAGGAGATAATCCCTTTTTAATATTGTCAAAATCTGATATTATTGACCATCCCTGTTTTAATCTGCAATAAATCAACATTGGCAGAGTGAAATTCAACGTTTTCTTTTTTCATTTTGAGGGTCTTTTTCAGGCTTTCAAAAGAATTTTGATTGATTTGAATTGGATCGTTTGATCGGGAGATATTGAGAAATTAAAGGGGTCAATTTTAGAGTATTAGGATTTTTTCATTTCTGAAAATGCTCCGCTGGATGATAACAATTACCATTTGCTTCGTTAATGATGAGTTTTTTCAATTGATGAGGCAGTCTTCGCTTGTGTTTGAAGACAATTTTTAATCTGCAATAACTCAACATTTGCGGAATGAAATTCAACGTTTTCTTTTTTCATTAAAGTAGTTATACCCTTCGGCCGGGCTACGCTGTACTTTTGGATATTTTCAGTTTTCAAATTTTTCAACTAAATTGCATGGAAAAAAATTTGAAAAAATTCATACCCAGTCAGTATTGTCAAAATTAAATTCCGCAAAATATTGATATTTTTTCAAACATTTCCCTCTTATAAATAAATAATAAAACTTGTTTGCAAAACGTTGGATTATTTTTTATGAGGTGTCAAAAAATTCTTGTTTTTTCCACATCTAATGAAAAAAAAATTAGATTTTAATCTTTGATTACAATGGAAATGTTGATTTTCACATAAGACACTGGGTTAAATCCTGACTTAAATATTTCTTCTTTGAAAAACCAAAACGATAATTAAATTGAGAAAAAAATTAGAATTCCGAATCTAATCGAGTTTTCTGCAATTTGTTTGCAGTTTTCAATAATCTTTGAATTTACCGTAATAGTAGAGCTACTTTAAGGAGGTCAATTTTAGAAGATTATAATTTTTTCGTTTATTCTGAGAACTAAAAATGAACCCTTCTTTATCTTCAATAAATAACTCGACATTGGCAGAGTGAAATTTCTCGATTTTTTTTTATCCTGCAGATAATCTCTCAGGCTTTAAAATGAATTCAGATTTACTCGTATTCTCTCATTTGCCTGGGCGCTCTGAGAAATTAAGACAAATCAATGAAGCTAATAGATTCACTCTATTTTTACATCCTCCACTGAAAAATATTCAATTCCGAGACGATCCACTACCCGTTTCCTCCTCAACAACAACAAGTTATGCAACGAATAATAATAAGTTGGATGGGCATTTGACACTTGCCACAAGATTTCTGTTACATTTCCCCGATAAAAATCTAGGTAATTCGAGTCGTTCCATTGATCACAGGGAGCAAGCATTAGTGAATCACCCGGGACTATAGTGTGTCAACACGGGGAAGGAAATGTACGCACGATTCAAAGATAACAAAAGCCATTCGGAAAGCCTGGGTGGACAGATTGACCAGCTGTCCACCACACGAATCTCCGAACATATGACTCTCTCGTCCCGACAAAAACTTAAGCATCATCCACGTGACTGGCATATCAATGGAGAAAAAAAGACCAACGATAAATAATGCAGAGAAATAAAAAGAAATAATTCTTGGAGGAAAACTTACGTTCCGAGGAGTTCCTTAAGTACGTATTTATCGTCGACGGAGGCGGATTTATCGTCCTTGCCATCCTTCTTGAGTTTTTTATTGGACTCTTTTCTACCGAACAACGGCATCTCAGTGGTGGTTAAAAACCCCTATTGATACCACAAACGACAATTGTCAAAGTCAATTGAACAGCGATAGCGAGGAGAAAGTTGAAATCACAGTGTTAATCACAATAGCCGTGTTATCACACTGTCCCTAGCTCTAAGAGTGCCGAAAATCCTCGAAATACTGTCACTCCCTCCCTCCAGCAATCACCAAAGAACCCGTGCAATTTCCCAAGCCCCCCGAAATTTCATAATTTTCCCATATCCCATTAATCCACGTTTCACTTTCGCTTCACCATCAGCATAACGCCTTGTATTTCAACAATATCGTGATTGTCCACCTCTCGATAACTTTACGTAACGTTAAAACAACCGAAAAAATAAAAAATAAAAAAATAACATAAACAGGAGAGAGCCACCAAAGGCAGAGAGCGCTAATCGGTGGGTTTCTCACCGGGGGAGGGATTAAAAGAAAAAAAAAGTGACTCGAGTCCGTTGGAGACGAGTAACAGTACTGGCCGTCAAAATTTCCACAGTCCCTCGGAAGCCGTGACACTACCACAACAAATATCTCACTCAACACAGCACATACACCTCTAAACCAATAGCAGCGGCAAAATCCCCAGGAATTTGTCTGCAAGTCTCTCTCCAAAGCCGCTGCAACCGCACAAAACAGTTATAATTACCCGATAATTCTGGCCCCGTGTGACTTTATTCGACCTTTCATTTCATATGTCACCGAATTCTCCTCCCCTGCACTCGGAATTTCGGAGGCGATACGACAGAGTCAATTTCCCGGATCGCAGGGACTTGCCGACGCGCGCCACTGGCCAGCAAAAAAAGGCCAACGAACAACTGAGAAACCCTGAGGAAAACTCATGCAATGGTACAGGCAGTGGTGCTCAAGCGCTCCCTTATCACCCGGAAAATTCACAACTACTTCGAGTGTAATGCATCGAAAAACAAATTGCGACTAACTGCATCTATTGCCAACCCTGCCCAAATCAGTGGCAACGTGAGAGTGCTCTCTCGATCCCTCTGCAGCTGTCGGCCGACGCCTGCGCACGAGACTTGGCCGATTTCAACGGCGATTGGTTGGAGATAGGGATGAGCGATATTGGAAGGAAATATCGAAATCGCGACTATCGATATAATTTGAAAATATCGGGATGAAGATGTCGATATTCGGAAGAAAATATCCTTGAAGCGATATACCAGTATATTTTTTATATCTGAAATATTCACAGTGACAAGACGAAAAAAACAACTGGTGATCGTGAATAGTGATGGCTGATCGCGTCCGACGACTCCTATATTGACGAAAAGATATCGAATATCGAAATATTACTCGTCCGATCACAAATATCGGCAGAAACATATATATTGAAAACAATATTTCCCTTTTTCATTGATAACATTTCATTTATTCTCTTTCGAAATCCTAGAAAATTGAAAACAAATTTAGACTCCGATACTAACTAAAAAATATCGAATGTCGATATATTATTCGTCACAATATCGCCAGCAAAATATCGGTATATCGACATACAATATCGGCGACTTCGATATATCGAGGGGTATCGCCCATCTCTAGTTGCCGACCACAAACACAAACCCCATAGAACGTGCCATATTTTTCGTGTTTTCCCCCGAGTGTGTGGGAGATTGTTGCGCCTTCTGCCGAAGATTACGGGCCAGTGCGTACTAGGATCGGTCTCTGCGCACACTGTCTTCCTCGATAATGAGTGACACTCATCATTGCGGTTGACAGTAACCCCTTTGCAATAATTTCGTAGTCATTTCCCCTAGTCATTACAATGCTGACTATCATTAGCGCAAAGTAGAGTAAGCGGGGCTCGTGCAGCCCACTGTTACTCCCCGGTGCACATAAGTCTTATCGGTGAACGACTTGGAAGATTGTGCAGTTTTTCTAGTGCAGTGATAACAAAAATCCATAGTTACTCGGGATTAAATGCAGGCCCTCGTCGTCAGCCTGCATTTATCAGTGTTTTGAGCTGAAGTTGGTGTCGATGAAGGGGAGAGTTGCATTTCTGGAGGGTCAGGGGGCCGCGGAGTAGACTGAGGCAAGTCCTTTGTTCTCGTCTGCTCTGTTCTGCGTCTCGTTACACTGTTTACTGCATGGCTCGATCAGAATAGTCAATTTCTTGAGACTGAGGATCACGACAAGATGCTGGGAGGCATAACCAGCGCTGTGTCTCTTCGACGATGTTTTTATCTGTCAGCAACAGTTTTTGTCCTCTCGACGCTCATGGCAATGGCAATAATAATAAAATTATCACCCTTGGAGTCGGTTAAGTGCCGGCAGCCGAGGGTTTTAACAACTCCGACTTTGGAGTGGAGTAGCACAGCGCCGGTGGCTTCAGTGGGGAACAACGCCGGCCCCAGTGATATTGCCAAGAGCAATCCTGATGATGGCGATGGCGAGGGGAGTCAGAGGGAGCTGAATGAGAAGAGGTATCTCGAGATGAGGGAGAAGAATATACAGAATAAAATATCGAGGCTCTCCTGGAAGATGAAGAATAAAAATCTACCCATGGTTTATCACAATGCCACGAGCATTGAGATTAATTACAATGTTCATGTGTTTTATTATGCCTGGTATCGGTCTTTGGAGTACGATAGGGTGTGGAAACACTGGGATCACGAGTACCTGCCGAATTGGAAGAAAAATGATAGGAGGGTGTTTCGGGAGGGGAGGCACAGGCCACCAGCGGATATTGGGGCTAGCTATTATCCCAGTCTTGGGTGTTACAGCTCGAGAAATCCACAGGTCAATATTGGATAAGTCTGAGTTATTATCTCATTTGTTTGGGACCTGGGGTAATCACAGATTTTTTTTATTTTTTATGGCTTTTTACATATTTTTTGTAGTTTTTTTTTCATTTTTATTTTGATTTCGTCACGCAAACGTGAGTTTTTGGGAGGAATTTTTTTATTTTAGCCAATACACGTATGAAAAAATAGGGGAGGTTGGGATAAAACGGACACTTGGCTTTTTTTAAAATGCTAATGAGGGGTTGAAATGTTGATAAAATTTAATATTTTTTTTTTTCAATACAAAAAAAAATTCTTTCCCCTTGGGACGAGCCGAAGCTGAGCTCAATTGATCAATTTGTTTCTGAGTTATGAATAATTTTTAAAAAGTCTAAAGTGTCCGTTTTACCCCACCCACCCCTATAGAAAATTTCTATACGATTTTTGCATACGTGGAATTTGAGTTTGATGACGTTTTTTTTTCGTTTTATTTTGGCTTTTGTTCCTCCTCATTTACATTTCATTCTTAATAATGTGGATGAATGGAAAAATATACATTTTCCTCGAGAATACTTGATTTTTAGATAATTTGCATTTTTTCTCCACTGTACATTCGTTTATTTTGCATTGTTTTAATTCAATCTTATTCTCCATTCTCCGCTTGTTGAGTAAGATTATTAAACATTATTAAAGACTTGATAACTTATATATTGATATCGAAATGTTTTGTTACATTTTATGACTCAATATTCTTTGAATTTGCGACATTAGTTCCTTGTTTTTAATCCCTAAACTTGTTTTTTTTTTTAGTTTTCATATTTTCGTTTTATTCTGGCTTTTCGTTTCATCCTCTATAATTTGGATGAATGGAGAAATACAAATAACAATTTGACATCCATTCACTTATATTCTTATTTACCTGTCTGATGTATACCCTTTCGGATTTTTACATTTCTTGTTCCCCAATCCTTAAAGATAGAGATGTCAATACCACGCCATATGGGCAACATTGAGTTTTACATTGTTTTAACAACTTTTACCATTATTATTATCATTATTGCCGGTGTACGTTATTCAGTTATGCCTCTACTTGAGTAATCACATTTACATTCACCATTCACTTACATATTTCAAATAGTTACAATTAAAGTTTTCGTTTTAAGGCCCGGGTGTGCTATCTTTCGAATGTTAACTGATTTTTAAAAATCTTTCGTAATCCAAAATTGTCAATTGAGTGGTACATCATGTAGAAATTCCCAAAAATTATGATAGAATGATAAAAAAAAATAGAAAAAATTCTGAACTTTTTTAAAGAGCGTTTTTAGTTGAGATTCAGAATGAGTTGAAAAAAGTGGAAATTAAAAATATCTGATTCGCTGTGGCAAACTATCTATTAGCTGTCATTTCCCATGGTGGATAACAAAACACTAACTCATCATGGGAAGTGACAGCTAGGTATCTCAATTTTCAACATAGTGGTAGGTAGTCATCTGCCATTTTTAAGTGATAAAAGTGTGATTAAAAAATTCTCCAAAATATTACAACTTTTTTCAAAGAGCCTTTTCCGTAATAAATGTCTCTGTGCAGTGTGGGAAAAGATTTACGAAATCAGTCTTCCCCCTGCATGATATTGGGTGACAGGCCGCCATTTGTCACCGTAAATCAGATACATTTTTCAATTTCTTGTTATTCAACTTATTCTGAATATAAATTAAAAATGCTCTTTGAAAAAATTACGAATTTATTCTATTTTTTTTTTTGATTATTCATTTATAATTTTTCAAAACTTCTGCATGATGCAGGACTCAATTGACAATTTCAGATGACGAAAGATGAAAAAAAAACATCGAGATAACGTTCGAAAGATAGTACACTCGGGCCTTAATTCTGCAATTGAATAAGAATCCTCGAAATCGTCACGATGGAAATCAATAACTCCCGCTCTATTTTCCCCCTTTATTTGCGCAGGATTATGTATGATAGAACTCTCGTAATCTAAATGAATCGATACTTCGTAGGTAATTGATCTCCATATGCGACAACTGAGGGATGCTGGAGTGGGTGTGCTAGTTGTGTCTTGGACGCCACCAAATACACCGGATAATACAGATCCGGTGATGCCCGATCTGCTGAACGCGGCGCACAGATATAATTTGAAGATTGCACCACACATCGAGCCCTATCCTGGACGCAATCCAATTAATCTTATCGAGCATATAAGATATTTGTTCTCCAAGTATTCGTCCCATCCGGCACTACATCGTGCGAGGAAAAGTAGAGAGTGAGATAGCGTTTGGATTATTCATGGATTTATTTACGAAGTTTATTTTTACGTATGACAGGATGATTGAATAGGACGCATTTGTTTCATTTATCTTTAAGGGAATAATTTATGGAAAAACATTCAAGTGCGTTCTGTTATACCCTGAGGTACAAAAACTCCCTAAGGGCAAACAGGAGTTTTATATTAAATCCTCAATTAATCATCACGGGCATAAGTTCTTTTTCATAGTGTATTCCATTCAGTTTACGCATTTGTTTAGTTGGATTGAATTTTATTAAATTAGTTTATGCACTTATTTATTTCATTTTATTCACAATTATTTTATTTAATGGATCGATTCATATAATAACATTATGCATGGATTTTAGAGTCATTTGTTGGTATTAGTTGACAGATTTTTAATTCGAATTTTTAAAATCTTTATTTTTTTTTTATTTTGATAATCCGAAATGATCTCCAATTACTATTCAGTTTTGCATAGCCCTGGAGTCTCCAAAAATTATGATTGTACAATCAAAAAAAACGTTGAAAAAGAGGTGAACATTTTCAAAGAGCGTTTTTGAATAATATTGGGAAATAAACCCAATAGGGAGGAAATTGCAAATTGATAATTTGATGTACCTAATGGCTGTCAGATCGTTAGTTACCATGATAAATTATCCATTCAATATTTCCTCTCTATGGGACTTATTTGTTAATCTTTATTAAAAATGCTCTTTAAAAATGTTCAGTTTTTTTTCTACTTTTTTTGATTGTACAATCAGAATTTTTAGGGACTCCTGCATGACGTATAATCCAATGGAAATTGTGGCCGGGTCTTATTAAAATATAAAGATTCTGAAATTTATTCATTTTTATTCAACAGAATAATGCATGTATTCATACAATAACATTGACATTTAAAATTGTTTGAATGATAAAATTCCCCAGAAGTCGATATATTGGGTTCATCGCGAAGAAATCTTTATTTTGCAATTCAATTATCCAATTTTTGAATTTACGAACGACCCCTGAAGTCAATCATTTGTCATCTTTACCCGAAAAATATTTTTAATGCTCGTATTTTTTTTATCAAAACATTTCTGTTCTCATTTTATATATCACAAACACATGTCAATGAAAAACTAACAAAATTAAATTTCGATTCCCAGTGGGCCAGCCCTTCCCGTAATATATATTTACGATTCTTACGTGTTTCCATCGAGTGCATGGTGGGAGCTCCTATCGGAGCGCGGAAATCTCACCCTCCGTGGTACCGAAATTGACGCTATATACATGGGTCTTCTAGTCGATTCCGCCCACCGGAGTCACATTAAAAAATCACGTTTCGATGGGTTTTACACATACTTCGCTGTGAACGGATTCAGTTATGGAAGTACCTGGAAAAACTGGAGGGAGCTCAATAAGTTCGCCATACAGAATGGCTTGCTGTTCGTACCGAGTTTGGGGCCGGGTTATATAGACACACAGGTGGGTAGATACGTAAATAAAACTTTTTGTTTATGCCCTGGGGCGTAAACAGAAAGACAGACATTTCCCCCGAAGGCAAACAAATTGATTAGACGTCATTTATAGGAAGTAATACTTGTTCGATAAATTGTTTGTTGAACATAATTAAATAACTCTTCGTGTTTCACTACACTGAGGGAAAAACGACAAAGTTCTCAAACAAGTCTTACTTGTGCCAAGAAAACAGTTTTTTGAAAATTATCAAAAAAGTATTCTCTTGTGCCAAACATACACAGAGTGCGCCGGAATGAAAAATTTTTGTTGCAAAAATAGATGCAGTAGTTAAAAAAAAATTGCATTCTCTGTACACGCAAGAAATGTCATTTCCAGCACTACTCCTTCGTTATTCGATACTCCCATACGTATTTTGCTCCCGAAAAATCTTTGTTTTATGCGAAACAGGGGATAGTAGTTTTTCTTTTCGGCTGTCTAATAATCACAGACAAGAAATGATAACTTAAATGAAACAATAATAATCATATGATAGCAATCTTGTAACTTGGGGATAAAATATTTTCTGATAAATTTTCCTCTATATGAGATATTTCATCCTGAAAAGGCACCGTCTGGTGTGAATTATCCGCCTCTTGAGCCAAATATTTCGTTGTTGTCGAAAGCAGAACAATTATTCATGTTTGAGACTTTCAAATTCGAACCAAACAAATTCTTTTTTGGCAATTTTCAACTAGCGATTTTGTTGGCCCAGACAAGACTTGTTTGACAACGTGTTTGTTTTTCTCTCAGTGTAGTCAAATGTCACTTATTGCAAGTTTTACATCTATTTCCTTCAATGAAAGAATTGATGGCATTCACTTGGCAGATAAAAATTGTACGATGGTTATTGAACGTTTGAATTTATTATCAATCATAACGTGATATCAGCCTTAAAAAATTGAGGTGCAGATCATTGATACAAAAAAGAACAATTTGACAGATAAAAAATGAGAATAACAAAATCACTGAAATAAAATTTAGTAGAAATAAAATAAATAAGAAGCACTATTGCTAATCGATTCTTCTTCCAGGTACGTGCATGGAATGGTGAGAATACGAGACACCGTAAACACGGTCAATACTACAGTGTTGCGTGGAAAAGTGCGATAAAAAGTGGTGCTAACGTTGTATCAATAACATCATTCAATGAATGGCACGAAGGTACACAAATTGAGCCAGCTAAACCAGTGAGCAATAAAGACTTCACTTACCTGGATTACGAGCCAGAGGGTTCGGATTTCTACCTGAACCTGACAAAGTCGTGGGTCCAACAGTTCACCGACAGAAATCATCGACTATGAACATTGATCTAGCTTAACTCATGACTTTGTACAATTTACAATTCAACCTCTGAGTATCCACGATTCTTCATAGAGACTAGAGATGTTTCATGCGTGCATTTCATCACGAATACTCTTATTTACTTTTCATTAATAATTTATTCTTAATTAAACGATAAACAGAAATGTTAACGCATTGATTCTGTGATACATATTGCTGTGTATTTATGGTGCATTCACGTAGAATAACGTCGGCACACAGTAACAAACAGTGCATACAAACAATTTATGCATTTTTAATTGATTAATATAAAAAAATTAGTTATATTAAAGACTCTCTGATCAAAATGAAGGATAATTATTCGCACAAAAAAATAATGTAGTATGCATTCAGCATGCGGACAATAAGCGGCGGTTCTCGAGTATAATATCCCTTACTTTACAGGGTAATTATTTATTAATCCTTTATGGCAACTTAAATAATTGAATAAGGAACGAAATGATATTACTACGATGTACTTGAACGTATTGCATGTGTGAATCAAGCAAATAATTTTTAATGAGGGTGTATACAATTTATATATTATTATACATATAGACGAGATGAAAAATAAGTGGATGAAAAACTTTTGAAATAATTCACACTTGGAGCATTTTTAACGAATAAATAAAGCCCCACATATCAACGTATCCCATGTGAAAACAATTTCACGCTGGTTGTAATAATAAAATCTATCATTTTAAAAAATATTTGATTTTTCAAAATCATTCTTATTCACGAACAAAGACAATACACTTTGAGTTTATAATAATTAGTATTTAAATGTGGATCGTAGAGTAAAACTTTCAATAAAATTGTCATTATCTATTTCTTATTTATTTATGACGTTGACTTACTCTACTTATAGTATAAGTAAACATATAGAACGAGATGTATGTACATGTAAAGTTGCATTTATCTTGGCAATTTCGTTATTCTCGTGAAGAAATAAAATAATAAGTCTGAAACAATCGACTTACTCCTTTCTTACATAATTACATTATCGTCACTCATTCTATGTGATTAAGTTCCCCCCCGAGCAGTCTCAGTAAAACCAATTTCTATTTATATCTGTATGTACACACACATATACATCAGGTGTATCATCAATCACGTAAAAATTCTCTCCCTCGAATTTAGCAAATTCCCTGGCTTCTGTCGTCAATTCTCGTTCGTAGAAATGCAAAAGGAATACAAAAAGAAAAATGTTGACTGGATAAACGTGAGGGTCAAACTGGAAAATATTGCGTTAAGAGTATTTTATAAGTAAATAACGTAAATTGATTTCTACTTGACCAGCATAAAACCCTGAACAGTCACAACAAAATTGTCGAAATTATCTCTAAACTTGAGTTTGTGAATTCGCTCTGTGTTCAGTTGAATGTTTGCAGTGAGATTGTTGAATGCTGCTGCCAGTCTCTGGGCAACCTCTGGGTCCGGCTGAGCTGCCAAGAAATTTTGCACAAGTGCCTGATATTGCTCCTGATAACAGCAGATCAGGAAGTACAGGGGTATGCTGGTATTCGATACTAAATCGGAATTTATTTGGTTCGATAGGATGAGATTCATCAGTAGCTGAAACATCGAGGGACAATATGAAGATGAATAAATGATAAATTTTTAGAAAGGGAAATGAATCCCTGATAGCACTAATTTAAAATTTTATTAAGCCCTATCGAACCAAATAAATCGGAATTTATTTGGTTCGATAGGATGAGATTCATCAGTAGCTGAAACATCGAGGGACAATATGAAGATGAATAAATGATAAATTTTTAGAAAGCGAAATGCATCCCGGATAGATCGAACCCAGAGTTCACCCAGAATTAACTCTGGGTTCATCGAAATGAGGGTATTTTTCCATAAACCCAGAGTTAACTCCGGGTTTGATTCGTCAGGGATACTTATACTTACATTCATAAAAGGCGCCATTAGCTGATTTTTCGGCTGCCCCTTCTCAGCTTCAGTATAAATATGTTTCGCCATGACTTGAATAATATCGCAGCACAATACTGTTATTTGATGGCCAAACGAGAAGAGCCCTAGCTCAACTGAAGCCATTAATTGTTGGAGTAACTCGGGGGGAAGTTCACAAACTTTCTTTGGATATATCTCACAGACAAATGTAATCATTTTAAAATACCTGAAACAAGGGGAAACTTTGCTTAATAAATATCAAGACATAATTTAACTTTTCCAATGGGATTTTCCCTTAGTTTAGAATTTTTGTTGGAATATGGAATATAAATCAGCGAAGTGGTAAAACGGTGCAAGTTAATTTTTACTATTGACCAGTTTTCAATGAATATCTCGGAATCTAAGGAAGACGGCAAAATTTTTGTTATAACCTTTTTTGTAGAGCAAATTGAGAGCTACAACAAATGTAATTACGAAAATTTCGCTATCTCTCTTAGATTCGCAAATATTCCTCAAAAACTCCCCTGGGAGACAAGTCGACTTAAACCGTTTTACCACTTTGTTACTGAAATTATTCGGAAAGTGCCCTGAATCTTCTTGACAGTCATCGCCTATGCCAGGCAATTTTACAAGTTCAAAATAAAATGATAAAAGTACCAAAATAATAAAATCGTACTAGTTAACAATAAAAACATTGACTCACTGGTGACAAAGTGATGGAAACTTGAGAAGTTCAATAGTCATCATGGGCATGACAATATTAAGTCCAAAAAGAAAAACATCAGCAGGTGTGACTGGCTGCTGTTGCTGCTGTTGCTCCTGCCCGGGGAAGCCCTCCGAATGACTCAAATCCAAAATATCCTTACTCAGCAAATTGGTCAGTAACTGCATGAGTAACAGAATATCCTGAAAGGTGTCCTCCTCCTTGGTGACGTCCACAGTCAAACGATTGGTATTGCACCTCGCATAAGTCTGAATAGTCTGCAAACACGCCTCATACACTCTAATGCTCTGAGGTTCAGGAAGATAACACAACATCCTTCGTGTGCACTCGCAGAACATTTCCAAAATCAGCTGGACCATCTCCTGATAATTGTGGTAGAGCCCGAGGGCATTGGCGAGTTCCGCCAGCACTGGAGAAACATAATGAAAGACTGGTTTGACAGTTGAAGCTTGGACCCCCTGGGCAGCGCCAATGAAAGACTCGAGGACATCGATTATCTGCACCCTGACCTCCTCCTGATGGTACGACCTCGAGAAATTATTATTCGAGACAATCTGCTTGAACCTGTCGTGCAGAGGCTGGAGGGTCTGGGACCAGTAGCCCTCGTTGTTATCACCCTGGAGTGCAGCCCCAGCCTGGACAATGGCCCTCATAAGTCCTCGTTTCGCGGTCTGAGGCAACTGATACTGGACTTTAGTAGCCAAATCAATCAGACTGCCGAACCTCTCAGACTTGAGAATATAAGAAGCTTTTGATTGTGACTCGACTAAAGCGACTAGCAACTGCATCGTATCTTTGATTAGATTCTGCTCTCCTTTGAAAGTATTGACATTGCACTCGACCTTCTCTATCAAAAAATTGACGATCCAGGGGGCACCAGGGCTGTCGTCACCAAATGCTTGAAGGAGAGTTGGACTTATTTCGGAGTAATAATTCTCGGTGGGTAGCAAATAGCTCAACGACCATCTGTGCAAGAACCAGACGATTGTACTGCTCAATTCTGGGCTCAATGTGTCAGCAATGTTAGCACCAATAGCTGTTTTTTCGATCTCACACAATCGAAATACTGTGGAGATGAGGCGAATCACATGATCTGCCGACTCCTCGGCCCCCTGGATCTCCGAGATATTGTGTCCCAGTGATGCCAGCAGCTGCAAGGACACGTTGACGTCCACTCGTCCCTGCTGGGGCTGCTCGATGCTGTACCTCATGAGCTCTGAAGGTATCAGAGCTATCTCCCCCTCTGACTCCATGCAGAGGACATGTCCAGCTATCAAAACTAGCCAGTGGAGGTCCTCGTACAATTCTTTGAGGTTTGAATTCATGTTCAGGGACTTGGGTTGACCGACTAATTGACTCAATTCTTGTCTCAATTTACTTGTTCTGATTTCTAGGAGGTGAGAGAGCACTGGGAGCGAGTGACTGGGCACCTGTCTGCCAAAATTTCCGATTGTCTGCAGCTGCTCCTTGAATTTAGCTCGATCATCTTCCTCGGAGTCGTCGATGTCCTCGTTCAAATCGTGTTGCAATGAGTTTCTAGTTCCCTCTGGAGAGGACAGATGACACTTGAGGTAGACATTGAATATCTGAGCTGAACTCTGCTGGCAGAATTCAGTGGGGAATAAATGGGACTCTGATAGGACTGACGACCAGGTCTCCAGCATCTTCTCGAAAGCCTCCATGTACAGGCAATCCTGGGCGCACATGGACTCCTCCTGGGCAGCTCCTTCGGCGAATATGCAAGTCAGCCTTGAGACTTGTTCCATGAAGGATCTCAGTATCTCCTCGGGTATGGAAGTCAACGCTGGACGAAAGAACGTGATGATCTTGCGAATCATGTTGGCGATGCCGAGTGCCTCCTGATCGATTATCTCGATATTTGAGACTAGCTTTAGGAATTCCTTCAGGTAGTCGGTGAGGTACTCGACTTGGGCTGCGTGAATGGCCACTACGGCACCGTTGAGACTGGCCAGCTGGACGAGACAGTTCCTGGCGTGATGGGCCAGTTGAGGATTTGTTCTGACTTTCCAGTATAATGAGAAGAATACTTGGAGGACAACTGGCTCCAGGATGACGTCTCGCCACATGGGGCCCATTCGAAGGGCTGGACTGCTGTCTGACTCGTAAACAGCCTCGAAGACACCGATCAGTCTTTTGGGCATTGCACTGGAATTAAGGAATGGTATATCTGGCACGAGACATCGGTTAATGAGACTGTGATTTAACGCCCAGGTGTACTATCTTTCGAATGTTATCTGGATTTTTTTTATCTTTCGTAATTCAAAATTGTCAATTGAGTGGTACATCATGTAGAAATTTCCAAAAATTATGATAGAATGATTTTAAAAAATAGAAAAAATTCTGAACTTTTTCAAAGAGCGTTTAATTGAGATTCCGAATGAGTTGAAAAAAGGGGAAATTACAAATAACTGATTCGCTGTGGCAAATTATCTATTAGCTGTCATTTTCCATGGTGGATAACAAAACACTAACTCCTCATGGGAAGTGACAGCTAGGTATCTCAATTTTCAAAACAGTGGTATGTATTCATCTGCCATTTTTATGTGATAAAAGTGTGATTAAAAAATTCTCCAAAATATTACAACTTTTTTCAAAGAGCCTTTTCCGTAATAAATGTCCCTGTGCAGTGTGGGAAAAGATTTACGAAATCAGTCTTCCCCCTGCATGATATTGGGTGACAGGCCACCATTTGTCACCGTAAATCAGATACATTTTTCAATTTCTTGTTACTCAACTTATTCTGAATATAAATTAAAAAATTTTTGTGTCCAGGCCATTCATCTCACCGGCGTTAACAAAAGACTCAACAGCCGAGTGACTTGACGATCTCATTAATTTTTGGAATAATTAGTGGTAAGCGAAATGATCATTATTAGTAGTATATGGAATATATTAAATTTGATATGAATTTCAAACGACTTTGACCCTGCAATTGTCCTCTGCACTGAATAAATAATTAGTGAACAATTATTATGCAAAAGGATATAATTTGCGTAGATGAAGCCCCAAACGAGGACCCCCTCAGCAATGGAGAGCAGGTGTTTGACGAGTGGCAGACTTGTTTCAGGAATTCCATCCTTCGTTAACTCTGACAATGCACTTATACTGAACTTGAATATGCGTTTTAAATCTGTGACTTCGAAGTGTCTTTTGGCGCTGAAATGCACTTCCCATTTTAACCCAACGTCTGAGGATTTAACTGTCGATGCGTACTCCTGCATTAGGGCTGATATCATGCTACAACCAAGAAGTTGCTGTGGAATGAAGAAAAAAACGACATAGGACGAGGGGGAAATAACCAGTTATGAATAATAGTCCGAGAGATGGATCTTTCAGTGCTAAAAAATGGACTTATATTATCAATTTGTGGTGTTTTTTTGTAAATGAAAAATTTTTGCTATTGACAATTGAAGATGTTTCTTTCTCCAAGTACTGGACGATCCATCCTGTTTACACCGAGAAACAAAGTTTCTCATTTTTTAAAAAAATCTTTGAATTTAAGGCCCGGGTGGAGTATCTTTCAAGCGTTATCTCCATTGTTTTTCCATTTTCATAATGTAATATATATCACAATTTCTATGGGATTTTACATCACGCAGGAGTCCCTAAAAATTATGATTGTACAATCAAAAAAAGTAGAAAAAAACTCAACATTTTCAAAGAGCGTTTTTAATAAAGATTAAGAAATAAGCCCGAAAGAGAGGAAATAGTGAATGGATAATTTATGATGGTAACTAACGATCTGACAGCCATTGACTACTGTGACAATTGACGACCTAACAGCCATTAGATACTTCAAATTATTAATTTACGATTTCCTACCTATTGGGTTTATTTCCCAATATTATTCAAAAACGCTCTTTGAAAAAGTTCAAAATTTTTTCCATTTTTTTAAATCATTCTATCATAATTTTTGGGAATTTCTACATGATGTACCACTCAATTGACAATTTTGGATTACGAAGGATAAAAAAAAATCCAGATAACATTCAAAAGATAGTACACCCGGGCCTTAAATCCCTGTAAACCTATTTACCGCTTCGCTACTGAATTGTCAAATTACATTATCTTAATTTAAAAATCCAATGTTTCCTGATTCAAAGACTTTTTTCACTTTTGCATGACATGTGGCTTTTAAAAACAATTGTTTCTAGAAACTAGAAAATATTTTCTCTACGCATTCAAACAATAAGTTAAGATATCTAGAAGGGTAGGATAATAATTTTTACCCTCTGCATGTCCCCACTCATGACCATCCCCTCGACTTCATTGAGAATGGCTCTCCTCTCCTCGCCATTATCCTCAATACTTCCCCTCTTCACCATAATCGCGATAACCTGGAGTATCCGCTCCCTGACGAAGGGTGCCAATGTCGGTTTACTAATGATGTAATGCAGCAGATACTGCCTGAACGATATAATATCACTGCTAGGTAATAAATTCCATTCCCTAACGAGAGCTGCCTTGACCAGTCCAGCTGCCTCAAACAGCACATAATCGACAGTGCTCGTTTCTAAAATATTCCGACACAACTGGTACGGTGATTTTGTCTTACGGAAGTTTAAAAAAACAGCCTCTGCCGACTGACGCTGCTCAGCCGTTATAATATTAGGGGGGGCCTGGGAACATAATAAATTAATTGATGTTTTGTGGGAATTATCGAGTCGACATAACCCAACAGATCTTAATTAACAGCTCATCATTCAGTTTTATCAATGATCTAGGCGAGTTTGGGTCCTTTTTTTCGACTCATTGAACTGGCAGGTGCATAATTATAAAGATTGGGGGGTGCATTCTATTTAAAATATCGATGAAAAATCTTACTAAAATAATTTGTGCCGCAGCTTCCAATTCTCTGACTATGTGATCCGCCATCTTCGTAAATAAAACTCTTTGTTATTTGGGACGTGGGGGTAGGCCGCGGGGAATATTTCGTGGAATGTCTGGCGCCCAAAAGACTGCGCTGCACGTCAATTTTGCCTGCACAAGCAAACACTGGTGATTTTTCAGAAAATTTTCGCAATTCCGCGACCAATAATTCAATAAATAAAACAATAAACGCATACGTCACGATTTTTTTGACATTCTTGACAAGTCTGAGCTTCAGACATGTCACCAGTCAACAGATTCGATCGAGAATGGCTGGACTGGGCAGACGATCCTGTTGGAGTGACTGAAAACGCTATCTTCCCAGATCACGTAATATTCTCAATAAATTCCTCAATAATTCCTTCTCGACGTATTTCAATTAATAATTATGTTGTGAAATGGAAACAACATTTATCTAAGGGAGACCGGCTAAATGGACAATGGCAAGTCCAATTTCCTGATGTTTATAACTCAGAAACAACTTCAGAAATTGAAGACAACACTAGGGGAGAGTTGGTAAAACGGACACTTTAGACTTGTTCTAATTACTCATAACTCAGAAACAAATTCATCAATTGAGCTCAGGTTAGGCTCATTACAAAGGGGAAAAACTGTTCTTTGCAATGAAGGAAAAATTAATAAATTTTATCAACATTTCAACCCGTTATTAACATTTCAAAAAAAATTAAAAGTGTCCATTTTACCCCAACCTTCCCTATTCCATTTTAAGTCAAAGTCAAGGCTCCATTTTTTTCATGCACGAGAATTCCTAATTAGACTACATCGTTATAGGAAATTACTCTTGGAATTCCAAGCAAAAAATCTTGACATTTTTAAGAAGGAATAATTTACGTGGAATTTCCTTTGATCTTGTTATTAATAAATCAGTCAATGTTCTTGAATATTCAATGAAATTTGATTTCTCAGGTTCCTACGACAAATTACTGAAAGTCGCGAAAATTCAGACAACTCTTCTTCTGAATTTTCCATCTGTTGCTTAATTTTCGCGATAGGTTTGAAAATCCAAATTGTCATTGAAAATTCAATGATCATTCATAATGAAAAACTCAATTTTATTGAGTTTCCAAGATGAATCAGGAATTCCATGATGCATCTGTTACTTAAATTTCTAAAAATTTCTAACAGTGTAGACAAAAACTCTCTTATTATCCTAATTGCCGAGTTTCTTCTCAAATGTTCCATGAAAATCTGAAGTATAGTGTTAGTTAATAGTTCTAAGCTACCACAACATCTGAGAACAAATAGTTGACATGGTCTCATTTTAGAACGAAAAATATGCAAATTGAACTGTAATTGTATAGAAATGCTTAATTAAGGCCCGGCTGGATTATCTTTCGAGCGTGATCCTAGTTGTTTTTATTTATTTTGATAATCTGAAATAATCGCCAATCACTATTCAGTTCTACATAGCCCTGGAGTCTCCAAAAATTATGATTGTACAATTAAAAAAACATTGAAAAATAATTGAACATTTTGAAAGAGCGTTTTTCAATAATATTGGAAAATAAACCCAATAGGAAGGAAATTGCAAATTAATAATTCGATGTATCTAATGGCTGTTGGGTCGTCATTTGTCATAGTAGTCTCCTGCGTGATGTCAAATCCAAAGGAAATTGTGATATATTTTACATTATGAAGATGAAAAAACAATCGAGATAACGTTCGAAAAATAATCCGCCCGGGCCTTAAAAAAAGAGAAAAAAGTGTCTAAAATGCCAATCAGATGAACAAGGCCCTAGATCATATTCTTTCACCCCCAGATCAACAAAGAGAATTACCAGCCACGAACCCTGGTGGACCAGACCCTGGAGATAGTGGACCCAATCCCAAACATCCATACCCTCTTCGTCCAGTTCAACACCAAATTCTTCAACAACGTCCTGCTCCCAGTCGAAGTAAAATGGAGTCCTCGAATGACCTCGTGTGCAGGTGTCTGCACCTTCAGATCACGCAACCGCCAGTGTGTAATCTCCCTGAGTGCTCCACTCCTGAAGCTCAGACCTAGGAAGGACCTCGTGGAGACCCTCCTCCACGAGATGATTCACGCCTACCTATTCCTCACAAACAACAATCGCGACAGGGACGGCCACGGCCCTGAGTTCTGCAAGCACATGAACAGGATCAACGCAGAGGCTGGCACGAGCATAACGATCTACCACGATTTCCACGAGGAGGTAAAGCTGTACCAGCAGCACTGGTGGAAGTGCAATGGCCCCTGCAGCAACAGAGGGCCCTATTTTGGTACAGTGAGACGAGCTATGAATCGAGCCCCGGGGCCCTCAGACAGTTGGTACGAGCAGCATCGTCGCACGTGTGGTGGAACCTTCATCAAGATTCGAGAGCCCGAGAAGAGCGTCTCGAAGGATTCAAAGCAAACGAAGAAGACTGATAACAATAGAACATTGGATGACTGGTTCAGCCCTCCTAGGGAGCAGAAGCCAAATATTCCCCGGGGTTTCGTCAAACTGGGGAATACCACCAACAATGTTCATGGGTTTGGAACTGGAGGACCAAGTTCATCCAGCAGAAATACTGGCAATTCACCATCCTCGGGGTCGTCTAGACTAGGGAATAGTGCAAATAATGTTCGTGGATGGGGGACTAGTGGCCCTGGGGGTTCGTCATTCAACGTGAGTCCCAAAATTCCTTCTCAGCCGAGGTACAAAGTCTCGGGGGTTGTTGGAGGGGGAGGGAATACTGGAAAGAGCTGTCTTTTGGACAGATTCCTCACGCCATCTAAGATCAAGAGTGACGTGATCGACCTGGGCACACCAGAGCCCAAGAGACCCAGGGTTGAGGGAAGGAATCTTCAGCAATGCCCAGTCTGTCAGAATCATTTCCCTGAGGAATCCATGAATGCTCATCTGGACGAGTGTCTGGAGAGTGGGAATGCAGCTGTTGGGGTCGATCAACCTCAGGATGTTGTGGGGAATAATGGAGGTAAGGTTGAGTGTCCCATCTGCTTCGCTGTTGTTCCTGTTGTGGGGCTGGAAGAACACGTGGATGCATGCATCTCAGGGCAATCGACAGAGGGAAAGGGTGCGGATAGATTCAGGACTGTTGAAAATGCAAATTCATTGGGATTCGCTGCAGTCGACTCGCCGCCTCGAACGACTAAGCAAGATCACAAATGCCTCATCTGTGGGGTTTTGATCCCCCCGCAGATGTCATTAGAGGCACACCTGGATAATTGTGTGAAAATTCGTTATGGTGATGATAGCGATGATGATTCCCTTCTCGTCACACCTAAGACACCCAGAGCGGAAGAGTACCCCTGCCCTGTATGCATGGAGATGTATCCTGAAGACGTCATGAACGATCACCTAAATCTCTGCATTTAGAAAATATCTAGTTCATTTCTAGTGAGTCATATTTTTCTTGTAATTATTATTTAGCATGAACTCTTGGCGGTTTAAGGAATTGAGATTATTTTTGTCTGGGACTTTTATTGAAAAAGGAGTTCATAGTATTTATTTTTTTAATTTTCTTCGCGCACCCACTTTTATAAATAACATTACAATTTGATAGATAAATTTGTTAGAGTTTCTCGTATAATCCAGAGTCGTCGAAACTGCTAGCAGTACAAACACCACATGTGAATTCTTGGATGTAGTTTGGGAAAAAGAGGAGGATTTGGTCCTGAGTGTAGTGAACGAACGTTAGGATGTTGCTTATGAATACGTGAACCGACTGTTTGTCCATTCTGAATCTGGAAGATTGAAAAATTATTGTTATAGTGTCTTTTTTACGTTTTATTAAAGAAGCATGTGTTCATATAAACGAGAATGTTTTATTTGTGAGGGGGTTAATGTCTATTCAACCAATTCTCGAACAAATTTCAATAGCTGTTTTCAGGACAACAATTCTTTCATTCAATTCATTTACTTTACTCGAAATTTTTTTGTTTCATTTAATTTTTTTCTCACATTGAATCCTGAATTACGCAATAGAAATTGCGATAACAGATTGGATTTTTAGTTCTTGTTCTCGTTGCTTGTGCAGATGAGATAAGTTGCCAGGAAGAGAATTATCTTGACTTTTCGTTTTTGATTTTTGCTTTTAAGTCCCGGATGGATTATCTTTGAAACGTGATTTCGATTGTTTTTCCATTTTCATAATGTAAAATATGTCACAATTTCCATTGGATTTTACATCACGCAGGAGTCTCTAAAAATTACGATTGTACAATCAAAAAAAGTAGAAAAAAAATTTGAACATTTTCAAAGAGTATTTTTAATAAAGATTAAGAAATAAGTCTGATAGAGAGGAAATAGTGAATGGATAATTTATCATGGTAACTAACGATCTCAAATCAGAAAGTTGGCTAGATACTACGAACACTATTCTAGGTGAATCTACAAGGGAGCAGAAACCAAAAGGGACATACTATTTTAGACATTTATGGAATAGAAAAAAAAAACAACCGTGGTTCTGGGGACAAAAGCTCCCGAGAGATTTAATTGTCTGGGTCAATAGAGTGAGAGNAAAAAAAAACTAACGATCTGACCGCCATTAGGTACATCAAATTATTAATTTGCAATTTCCTCCCTATTGAGTTTATTTCCCAATATTATCCAAAAATGCTCTTCGAAAATGTTCAGCTCTTTTTCAACGTTTTTTTTATTGTACAATCATAATTTATGGAGACTCCAGGGCCATGCAAAACTGAATAGCAATTGGAGATCATTTCAGATTATCAAAATAAAAAAAAACAGCCAAGAGCACGTTCGAAAGATAATCCACCTGAGTCTCAAGTGGAGTAAAAAATAATTACACACTGGCTTTCTGGTGGGAATTCATTAAAGAGTCGCTGAATTAGAACCTCCCCCATGAAACTCACCTCTTCGAATTCAGTGCATTCCACTCAAAGTTCCTGCTAATCATCACCTTCTTTTCATAATTAAAAATGGCCCCCCCACTCCCAGCGGGAACAATCTTGACATTATCCACAGCATCGTAAATCATCAAAGTAAGCCCAGCCTCATCGATCCTCGCAGTCAACGCAAACCCAGGGTTCTGGTCGTTGCAATGTCCCAAAGCAAGATACTCCTTTTCGCTCTCCGTAGACCTCGTGGCATTATGAGCTGAGCAAATACTCTCCCTCGTGATAGTGCAGAAGCTGAAGAGGGCTCGCCGCACGACATTGTCGATGTACCGATGGAGCCTCGTCCTCGCGAGGATCGACTCCACCACCTCCTGATCATATTGAATGGAGACTTCACTCTTGTTTACACTCATCGTAGCGTCTGTTGGGTCCCTCGGGAATGTCGCGACGATCATAAACTCATTATCACTCTTTGCGAAGGAACTATTCCCCCCAATGAGGTCGTACAGAGCCCTCATCCTCCAGATTAAGCTCATCATCTCCTCGGGTAGATTCTCGAAGGAAACGAGCACCTGGTACTTCCTCAGGGTCGACAGTTCCCTAGAGGCTTCGTAGCAAGCTGGGGTGTAGGGAACTATGCTCTTCCCATAGGACTGCTGCCTGCACTGCTTGTAGGGCCAGACATCCTCCTTGCTCTCCTCGATCTGATCCCCACTGACTTCGGCAGCGAGGTTCATCGACAGACTCGAGCCACTGCACTTCCCCTTGGCAGAGTCTGCGTACCCCCAGACCATATCCAGTTTAACAGAAGCTGGATCCGAGTGTTTTGTGCTCAACAAGTCCCAGCTCCAGGGGATGAGTCTGTCAATTTCCACGCAGAACTTCAGGACTCGTCCGTCGTCGACTGTCTTGCTGGCTTTGATCTTTAGACTGTCTGATAACCAGCTTGTTGACTCGTAAAGAGCTGCCAGCGTCCACTCCTGGAGGACCTGTAATGTCGGTAAATCATTTCAACTCAGACATCGGCGTAATCATAAATTTTTAATTGAGTTAGAATTTGGATAACAACTGTTAATGTGACTCAGCAATTTTTTAATTGTTGAACTAATCGTCAATTAAGTATTCAAATTTGGAATTAATTTATCAATCAATAATTGAGTTCGGAAGATTAGCGAATAAAACAATTGTGATATATTTTTGTTTTAAAATATACCACAATTTCCATAGGATTTTACATTATGAAAATGGAAAAACAATTGAGATAACTTCTTCACAAATTTCCAACCGTGTCTCATATCTCACTGGCTTGGAGACGTTGAGGAAGAAGAAGAAGAAGAATCGAGATAACGCTCAAAAGACAGTCCACCCGGACGTTAGGAAAATTGACAGTTCCATATTATCAAATATTTAACATATAATCAATAAAAATCTGCATAACAAATATTAGACTATTTTAAAATTGTGATGAGTCTCTTTAAACCTTTATCAACGTAATCGGCAACTCTTTTTAACACCGAAGATAAGTAATAGCGCTGGCCACCCTGTCAATTAAGCAAAAGGCCCACAACAAACCTTCATAGACTCCAGCTCGCTCCTGACCAACGACAACATGTACCGATTCCCGGTCTTCATCGCCTCCAGCCTCACCTCCGACGGCTGAATATTAAAAGGCTCGATGTAGACAGACAGCCCACAGCTCCCACTCGGCGGGACATAGCTCAGATAATCCAGCAGATGAATCCCCATCAACGGGAACCGTGCAGCTGTCCACGAGTGATGATTGCTATGATGATGCGCCAAAATATCGCTCATCAAATCGCTCGAGCTGACTTGCTTCTGACAGTCGAAGACCTTCAACTGCAGCCGCCCCCCCAGTTCAGGGACAATGGTCTCGAGGATGACCTTGTCCTGCAGCACGTCCCCCCCCTTCCTCACGGTATACTGGAGAGAACATCTCGGACAAATTCGAGAAATTTTCGCCTTCGCCCTCATCCCCGTGATTGTCGTGGCAGTCCTCGTGTGAATGGTCACCCCAGTCCTGAGGTACTCCGCAGGTGTGTTATACGACAAAAAGAACTTCTCCTTGAGCCCAACTGTGACATTCGCCGGGAGGTAGCCGTGAACGGCCAGCGCCCGTTCTGCGGTATGCCAAACATCCAAAATGGGATTGTAATTCTCCACAACCTGCGTGCCATGGATGGCAGTGCGAAAAATCACGTGATTGCTCCTGCCCCCGGGGAAGTGCGTGAAATTTCCCCTCATCGAGAACAACGAAGTGGCAGTGGCTGCCATGCGAGTGGTCGTTCCCAGATCTGTTGCCTGAATCGACTCTATCGTCAGCGGAACATTGATCCTCTGTTGATTCACGTGGAACTCCATGTTCTTGTAGATGTGATAAGTATTATCAGGCAGTGCGGACAGATACGCAACTGCATTGGCGATATTAGTTTCGTTGAAGTGGAGGCATAAAACCGCCTTCTGCTGGACCCTGACGATCATCTCGAGGTGAATGGGCTCCCTCGTGATTTTATTTAGCTTGAACTCCTTGAGGATGTCTTTGACCCTGATGGGGCTCTCTAAATAACTCGAGAGGGACTGCATCACTCCCGTGGCCTTCATGTACAGTGAGAAATCGTTGAACGTCGTTCCACTCCCGTGACTGTTCAACGTGAAGTAGGCGACTTCAGGGATGTTCGATGAAGGACTCGCGATTACAATGCTCTGGACGACAGCCCCAAAGTTCCTCTTGGTGTCCTGATAATCGAAGAGATAATTTCCGGTCACAACGGGACTGCTTTTCTCCGGCCTCCTGAGAATTCTCGTGAAGTGCCCAGCGATCGCTCGGATGTGCCTGTAACAGGGGAACGTCGTCCTCTCCATAGACTTCAGGCTCGTGTAGAAGTAGTTGTAGAGGTGGACGTTGGGCTCCCCCTGGATGTACCAGTAGAGCGAGATGATTCGGTTGGCCGAGGGATTCGAGACGATTAGGAGAGTCAAGGCGGCGATCCTCATCTCCAAGTGCTCGCTCCTGTTCACCAGGATCGGCCAGTACACCGGGTAGATGACGTCAGGTCGCAGTGGAGCTGTTGGGAGGGAGGCCCAGGCTGCCAGGACCCTCAGGTGCCTCGACTCGACGCTGTTTCCACTCGCAATGGGCTCCAGGAACTCCACGACTCGCCCCAGTTGGATGTTGGAGAGCCCTTCCAGCCAGATCATCTTCTTCTCGTAGACCTTGCTCTCGGTGAACTTGTCGAGGTACAGGCGAACGTAGTCGTCCAGCATCTCGTAGGGACAGTAGACCATGCACGTTCTGTAGATGAGGGTTCCGAAGGTCAGGATTCCAGTGTTCCTCACTTCAATCGAGGTCTTGTAGCCCAGGTTCAGCAGCGGCTGGAGACCCACCAGCAACTGAACGTCTGGTTTGCGAATGTGAAAGGGGAGTTGAGTGAGCAACTGCATTGCCGTTATGTGGGAGACCTTGTTCTGCTGGATTAGCTCGAGGATGAACAGGGCGGACTCCTTGGTGCCTATCTGGGGGAGAGTCTCCAGAAACATATTGCGGATTGTCTCCTCCTTGTAGCTCGTGCCTGAGATGTTCCTGTAGGCTGCCTGCAGGTCTGATCTGTTCAGCTGTCCTAAGTAGTACAGCAAAATTGATATTGTCTTGTTGTGGAGGTGGTCGATGTCGGTGTCCAGGCCGGGGTTCTCTAGGCGCTGACTCAGCCGGTCCAGCAGACCGGAAATCCCGCGGAATATTTTGTCTTTTGAGGGGTCACCGCGGCCCTGGGATAAGTCGCTCTCGGGGAGCTCGTGTTGAAGACTGAGTTCCGTGAATTTGTCGGATTTCTCGGAGGGCTGGGAGTCGGTTATTCTGGTCAACTGAAGGATCTGGCGGGTGGAGAGGAATTGGGCCTCGCCGAGGCTTTGGAAGGGCTGGATGTAGATCTCGCCGGTGGCGTTGATCAGCGTTATTTTTGTGTGGTTGCCGTGGGATTCCACTTTGTATAGCCGCTCTGATGACTTCATGACTGGATTCTGGAAAATAGAAGGGGGAATGATGAAGGCGGGTGATCATGGGGGATGGGGAGAGCTCAGAGAATTTGTAAATGCATTTTTTTTCATCATTGGAGAGTTTTTTGGAATATTTTGGATTGGTTTGGGGTATTCGAAAGTTTTGGGTGAAGGGGTCGTAAAGATCAGAAGGGCCAGAGCAGAAAACTACAGCTGGAATATTAGGGAGAAAGGCCTGAAGAAGGCTGAGATATTCTAGGGGAATCAAAAAATTCTTAAATAATTAGAGAATTTTTCTGGAAAATTTTGCATTCTTCGGGGCCTACATTCTAATTTTGAGTACCAAGGGTCATAGAAGAAAAGCATGCGAGAATATTTTAGACATATTAGGAAATTAGAAGAAACATTAAAAGAAAATTGAAAGAATTTGAGAATTTTCACGGAAAATTTCATATACCATTGGACTATTACATTCATTCATTCACTACATTCATTCATGTATTTACTTCTACATTCATTTGAAAAATTGGAAATTTTTTCAAAAGATTACGTACTATTCGCAAATGCTGAGGAAAGGTTATGAGGGTCACAACAAAAAACTGCAACATGAATATTGGGGAGAACGTCAAGAAGAATGCTGAGATATTCTGGGTGAATGAGAAAATTCTTGAATAATCGTAGAATTTCCCTGGAAAATTTTGCATTCGTCGGAGCCTACATTCTAATTTTGGGTACCAATGGTCATAGAAGAAGAGAATATGCGAGAATATTTTAAATATACCGGGAAATAAAACGAAAAATTAAAAGAAAATTGAAAGAATTTGGGAATTTTGTCGGAAAATTTCACATTCCTTTAGACTATTCTACATTCATTAAAAAAATTATTATTCGAAAGAAGTATTATTCGAAAATGCTGAGCAAAGGTCATAAGGGTCAGAAACAAAAAACCTAAACTATGTGAATATTAGAACAAGTCCCGAACAATGCTAAAATATTCTCGACATCAAAAAATTCTTCAACAACTTCACAATTTCCCCAGGAGACTTTGTATTCCTCTAGACTATTCACCCATTATCTACATCACTCATCGTTTCCGGAGAAATGTCAACGCAACGGAATATCCCAGACTGAAACCCTAAGATAAAGCGATAACTGTATTCTTTCAGCATTACCTCATCTCTATTTGGACACTCTAATCTCGGTACATTGGTCCAAGTTCTGTGTGGATGCCCTTGACACGTGCGAGGATCGAAAAATTTCCTTATGACCATCTTATTATTATCAGGGGTCACCACATACTCGATGTTACATTTTCCATAGTGATTACTTTCCAGGGAATGGAAAGCGACTTCTTTATCGAGAGTGACTAAATCTAGCTGGAGAATGCCAGCTATACTTCTTTTTATATTCGTCGCCCAAGCGGCTTCGGTTCCCACGCTGAAATTGGTGATCAATCCGTCTTTATAGATCAATTGGAAGGGCTTCTGGAGATCAACAATGTTCTCCTTGATTGCTGCATTGTCTTCTTCGTGATTATCCGGACCGTTTCGGATGAAAGTCTCAGTCGAGTGCAGCTGAACAACGAAAGCTCATTTTTATCACTGAATTATGCAAATTTTTTTCAACTCCTTATGCGGCGAAATGGACACTTCAGGCATTTTTTTTAAATATTCGTAACTCAGGAATCCAAATTCGAATTTGGAATCCTCAAAATCCAAATTTATCAAATTCGTAGATAGTAGAAGTGTAAATAATTAGATTAAGTTAATGGAGCTTCACTGATAGTGTAAATAAATCTTGTACATTTATGTGCTTTGAACAATAAAAAAAATCAGAAATAAATTGATCAATTGAGTGCAGACTGGGTTCATTACAAAGAGACAGGGGTTTATTCTTCAAGAAAAAAAATTATGCCCCTTAATAAACAATTCAATGAGGTTTTAAAATTTGAGAAAAAATTCTGAAGTGTCGATTTAGCCTCGTATAAATGTACCTGTAGGAATGCAGCGGTATCGGTGGTCTCCACATCGAAAATACCCTTCAATCCCCAGGTCGATGCGGCCCTCGAAGGCAACAACACCCCGGAACTGACTTCCGTAAAGTAAGAGTAAGTGTACTTCTTCCCATTTTCGAATAAATCATTTCCACTCGCTATAGAACTAGCGATCACCAATATCCAGGATATTTTTAACGTGTGTAGTATCCCATCTGTCCACAAATGAAAAGACACATGAAGCACTTCCGAATTATTAAACGAAATGAAGATTAATGTTTCGATGTGTTTGGAATAGTGGAAATGTGAATGAAAATTGCTGAGTATTTTTTATTTATCGAGGAGATTGTTTCAAGCATTTCGTTTTTCGAATAAATATTCTCATTTTCGAATAAATTATTTCCATTCCATCAACAATATCCACAATATTTTCAACTTGTATCCCATCTGTTCACAAATGAAAAAAACACATAAATGATGTGAACAACCGGATGAAAATTGCAGAGTATTTTTTATTTATCGATGAGAATGTCGAGACAGTCAGTCTTCAGTTTTTTTTACTTCTAATGGAGAGACGTACCTGGAGACAACATTGTTGCGACCGTTGGGAATACTGATGTCGACTGAATAATCAGAAAAGTCACGGGTCTGTTTGATGACCCGGTCGAGTATACGTTAACAGCTCGACTATCTCAAAGTTTAATAAACGTCAATGTGTATCCCCAGCATTAACTCGTGTTAGTTTAAATTATCCCATCGGCTGATTATCCTCAATCTCATCATGTCCTCTTTATACATCATATCAGTGTACCCCCAGACACTACAATATCTTTTTTCTTCTTTTCCCCTCGCTCTCTCCCTTTATCTCCCTCTTTCTCCCCAAACCATTGAGAAAATATCGAGAAATATCAGTCAATAAATAACCAAACATTTGAAAAAAAATTCCACCCAATAATCCTCGTGTTATTGTTCAATTGTAATTTATAGTTATATTTGTACAAATATTTTCATGGTGAAACGTAATTTGTGATAAAATGACCTTCGACCTCTTCTATATTTAGAGGCCAGTGACTATGGCGATAAGAGTTTCTTCAGAAAAAAAAGGACTCGTATGGAAAAATAAATGAACGAAAATTTTCTTTCACATCGACATCTCTAGAATTTTATTCTCTCTTGCACAGTTCATTTTCAGAGTCAATAATTTATAATTCTAGCGTACGTCACAAACAATCGTAATTTTTTCCGGGACTCAGCCCTATTTCACGTGCATAATTTTTTTTACTATACAAAATGTGATCATGAATTCATTTTTTACAAATCAAATGCCTATTTCAACTTTACAAAGCATTTTTAATAGAAAATGTAATTGATTAACTGTTGGGGGATGACGTCTGGGTGTCGTATTACTGTGGCTTGATTATCGACAGGATGGATTTTGAGTAATCCCAGGCTTCACTGTGAAAATGCAAAAATTTTGTCGTTCGAAATTTACTCGTTGACGTGAATATTAAAAAATGAAAAAATAAAATAGGGGAGGCAACTCACTTGTGGGCAGGATTAGCTTGATCTAATTGATCACTCAATTGTTGTATAAGCGTAGCAAACATCTTGAGGTGCTCGATTGTGGCGCCTTGGAGCCATGCTCTTGGCAGAGTACTCATTATCTGTAATGATTTGAAACAAAAAAAAATCAATGTCAGAACTATTTATCATCGAAGATGATTGGAAGAAAATTGCATGCACATGTTACACCTCCAAATGACTTAATTTATGATTTACTATTCATTTCGTCTATTTCACATCTTCAAATCGAGATTGGGTCAATAATTGTTGAACTTGAGTGAATTATTGGTGAATGAAGAATGAAATTCTTCTCAACAAAAATTGACGAATGAGAAAAATCACCCGAAGATTGTAACAAACGCATCAGTTACTTTTCCGAGAATAAATTTACCATATTAGCTTTGCCCAACGCATCCACAGGAGGCGAGACCCTCAGCCCAGCCAGTAGATACCTATTCAGCAGAGACCCCAGAGCAAGATTCTTCAGCTGATTATCCCCCAGCAATCCCTGCCAGCTCAATATATTCCTCAGCAATTTAACCGCCATGGTGAATTGTCGTTGAAAAAACGTATGCTTAGGATCCAAAACTTGTTTCGGAAATATCGGAATGAACACATCATTTTCAACAGCCGATTTGATTTTATCCAGAATGCCATTGAACAGTATCTCAAGATTTTTGCACGTGTCATTTAAATTTGGATAGTCACGAATGAGACGACTGACAGTACCGACGAGTCTTAGTGTCTGAGATGTGGACATTGGGTCCCACATTTTCTCGACAATGGAGGTGAGCTTCGGTAGAACAATCTTCTCCATCGTCAGAGGAATCAATCTCACGTCTGGATCGCATCTCAATGTCTCTTCGTTTTCCCCTCTGTCCAGGGCATAAAGCAGCAGGGAATTGTACCACTTGGTCCTCTCGAGGTCAGCACTCTCCATCAGGGGATTCCACGTGATGAGGTGTTGTCGAATGATCGGTGAGATCATCTTTGGAATGCAGAGGGAGACGTAGGCCTCGGTGTAGGCCTCCATGTCAGTGTCCCTCCAGGATTCAAGTTTAGACAGAATACCCCGGACTGAACAGAAGTCGTCCATCACGTCGGAGAAGATCTCCTGGCTCTCCTCGTCGATCTCCTCCTTCGTCTGTTTGAAAACTAGGTTCTGCTGCTCTGTCACTTCCTCGTCGCTCGACATTCCGTCTATGTGTTTGGGCATGTTGCGGTTCAATTCACGAGCTCTTCGACGTCTGGCACGTCGCCCTTCGCGTTCTGTCGCTCGACGAATTCTCACGTCGTCCTCGGGACCTCGGCGGACTGGTTGGCCTCCTAGAAAATTATTTCAACATTTCAACTGGGGCTCGAATTTTTTTTTGATTTTTTGGGTTATATCGACCTATTATGATCCAAAAATTGCGAAAATGCATTTTTTGAACTGTGTATGTATGTGACAAAGTTTTTCGTCAATTTTTCGCTAATAAATGGATAGAATTGAATCACTTTTCTTCTTAAATGAAAGTATTGCTAAGCCCTATCCATCGCCATTAATTAAAATTCAATTCATTGATTCATTTTTTTAATTTTCGAATTTTTTCAAAATTCAATTGTAACACGATAACTAAAAAAAATGTACTAAATTCATTGAATGCCAAAGGAAAATTTATCCAATAATTCTAGAAAAATTGTCATAATGAATGGTCTTTTTTAATGGAATAATTAATGCAATCGCTCAATTGTGGATAATTTCAAGGTAATTATTGAAAGCGAATACAGACTTGCAGCAGAAGTGATCTCCTCAGCTTGATCCCTCGTGTCCTGCCTCCTCCGTTCGATCAATTCATTAGACCTGTCACCGTACAAATCCAGCCATCTCTGCTCCAGTCCCGTCAGCAGAGGCAGCTAACAAAAGAGAGAAATCACATTATCACCTCGAAATGAGAGGGTTCAAGTACCAAAAAAAAATATTCTGCTGATACAGAGAAGATTCTGACCCCCGGCATACAAAAATTGAACTAAACACGATCAATGCAACTGTTGCACAGCGAAAAATAATAATCTGACTCTTGAATAAATGAAGTAGACAACATGAGGGAAGCGGATTAATTGAAAAAACGTGATAGCGTGAGGACCCACCTTCTCGTCAAGACACTCTACCAAGTCAGTGACATACCCACGCAACTCTTGGTAATATCTGAAGCGCTGGGCCAATTCAGGTGCACGCACCGAGCCCTCGTCCAACTCCTTCAGGGTCTGGTCTAGTTCGTCCTGCAGCTGTATCTGGTCCAGTTGGTGACGCCTGTGGACCTGTTGCAAACTAGTTACCCTGGAAATTGCATAAAGGTTTCAACATACTTTAATAGTATATTACGCAACTAGTGCGGAAACAGGCGGAGACCGCCTGCTGTCCGCACGTGTTGCGTATACTATTTTATATGATAAGTGCGTGATGAAGTCTGGGGGCGGAGGGGGGGAGGG